AAAAGCGTTTTAGTGCAATTTTCTCCAATATTTTTATACTGCTGTAAACCACCGGGATATGTATTTTATGATGTAGCAGTATATATATATTTTTATAAATAAGCAATGTGTGTATTTTTGCAAGCAATTTTCCCTAATGTGGTGCATTTTTGTATGTTATTTTCAGTAACATTTCCATTTTTATGGACACTTAACCTCAGTATGGGACACGGGTGGCGCTGTGGGTTAAACCACAGAGCCTAGGACTTGCCGATCAGAAGGTCAGCGGTTCGAATCCCCGTGACAGGGTGAGCTCCCATTGCTCGGTCCCTGCTCCTGCCAACCTAGCAGTTCGAAAGCACGAAGTGCAAGTAGATAAATAGGTACCACTCCAGTGGGAAGGTAAATGGCATTTCCGTATGCATCTCTGGTTTGCCAGAAGTGGCTTAGTCATGCTGGCCACATGACCTGGAAGCTGTACGCCGGCTCCCTCGGCCAAAAGCGAGATGAGTGCTGCAACCCCAGAGTCAGTCACGACTGGACCTAATGGTCAGGAATCCCTTTACCTTTAACCTCAGTATATGCACTCCTGTACACATTCCTTGGCTGGGGAATTGCATTGCAAAATTCAGAGAAGTGCAAATTTCAAAGTACGGTTGCGTTTTTGGTTGGTGTATTATTTCAGGAAGTTTGATTTAGGTAGATTAGCCTTTAGATGTGAATGGAATGGAATTTCTCCCCGTCCCCAGTTAGAGGTATATATTAATGATCTCAGGGATACCCAGAGAATACCTTGGAGAAGTCCAGTCCTAGATGTTTTCATCTCAAATGGGGTAATGTACCTGAATGACTGATGCGGCAACCTGGAAAAGTACCCTCTGGGCACCTTACTTCTAGGGAATGAAAGCTGGGGATTTTAAAAGGGATTTTGAAGATGAAAAAGAGAGGAAATGTGTTGCGATTGGCTCCTGCAGCCAATCGGAAGCAGTGCCTTAGAATTCAAACTTTTGGGAAGTTGAACAGACATCCTGAACAGATTCAACTTCCAAGGTACGTCTGCAGCTCCCATTGGATGCCATTTGCCATTCATTTCAAGGGGAAGCCCAACTGTCTCCTCCTTATAACTTTAGGTAACTGTGCTAAGTCTCATAGTAACAACTATGGCAATAGTCATCAGAGCCAGCGTTGAGGATAAATCCCTCCCGTAGTGTGTGTTGCATAGGGTGACCTTGAATCTTACTTTATAGAGGACAGCCCACTATTTGAAAGCACCTTCTGAAGTTCAAATGTGTTTTAGCGCAGAACCACGCCATATATTCAACATATATGATTTCCCCCATAGGATCCTGGGAACTGCAGTTCCCCCCTCACAGGCCTGAAATTCCCAAACTATAGTTCCCAGGATTCTTTGGGGAAAGTTGCATGTTTCATAAATGTGTTAGATGTGCTTAAAATGTATTGTGTGAATCTTTCCTTGGATTAAGGCTGGAGCTATACAGATAAAAAAAACACTATAGAAAATAACGCTATAAAAGCTCTTAATGGAAAATCCCATTGGACGATGGATTACTGCTCCACAGCACCATCTGGTGTTGCATGTTTATAATGCAGTTATAACGATATAATGGACAAGTGTAGCTAAGTCCCAAGACAGGACCTTGAAGCTGCCCATTAGCAGCACCTGAGCAGCATGAGCAGCAGACTGAGCAGGTAGGAACACATAACACCTGGGCAAGGCCACCTTCCCTGCTCTGGTGAAATTTATTATATTTAAATGATAGTAATTTTTCTACACATATAAACTGTCATGGTTGGAGTCAGGCATAGGACAGTGACAAGAACAATAAATCATCCGAGGCCAGTGAAGTTAGCTCTTTATTCAAGGAAACAAACCACAGCTCAGTCCTAGTGGTCTCAGCAACTCTTTCTAGGCGGTCTTCCCCAAGGAAGCAGTTGCGAGGACTGAAAGTCCCCACTTTCCCAGTGCCCTAGGACTCCTCCTCTTCAGGGTCTTCCCCACACAGTCTGAGGTTGTGTTTGTGCACAACCCCCCTCTGCTCTGCCTGTTTCATTTCTCTGTGAGTTTTAGGGGACCAGGGGGAGGGGAACTGGTCACGGCAGGAGGGGGAGACTCCCTGGATTCTTCAGCACCCTGCTTCTACTCTGCCTCTGCCTCAGCCTCCGAGTCTGAACTGCTCTCTGCCACAGCCTCTTCCTGCTCACTAAACCCTGCCACCTCTCCTGCTGCTGACACCTCCTCCTCCTGAACCAGCCACTTACCGGGTCTTAATTTCAACTGCAGTGCCGTCCCAGCTCTCTGAGTGTTAAAACCTGCCATGTCCTAACTAGGCAAACTGCTTGATTAGAAAGCTCTTTAAAAACCCATTTGGCTCTCCGCCCGAACTGCAGCCTTTGCATTTGGCATCTGCAGAAGGGTTTGTTTTCTTAGCTGATTCTCTCTTGGCGCTATTTGGACGTCGCCCATGTATCTTGGGGTGATTGTGCTGCCGAGACTCAGAAGCAGGAGGACTTGGATACGGGCTCCCTTTGCCAGCGTTTCAGCCCATCTCTGCGGATTCTCCTTTCTTTCTCTTCCCCTGCTTTTTTTTGTTTGCAGGATGGTTGCCAAGGATGGAACACTTCCCATTTAAATGGCTGCTTAGCTCAGGAGTCACCAAAGTGTGTCCGCCAGTATCTACTACAGCATTCGCAAAAGGTCTCAGTAAATAGCCCCTCCAAAATCGACAATTCATGTGAGGCTGCCTGTTCTTCTTCCTCAGTTCCTGCATTGAGTAGGAACAAACTAGTTTCATAGGATCATCTATTTATGAAGAGCTCTCCATACTTTGCCATGACAAAGGTTTCAGATTCAATCCCTGGTGTTGCCAGCAGTGGCGCAGTGGCAAATTCGGAAGTGCAGGGTCCTTCATGATAGTCACAGCCACAACCTTGTTAAGATTATACAACCGTCTAAGATTTTACAATAAACTTACAATTATACAACAACAATAATTAGGGATATTTAGCAATGGTCAATGCAGATCTCCAGGTGTCGCCTTTCAGCTAGATCTAATATTTTCCGTGCACATACATGGGGAAATGGTTTGGAGTGCTCTAATAGTTTCTTTTCGAGTGACTTTAGTTATGTTCTCCATGAAGTCCCATTGCATATCATACTCTTGAAACTGAAGCATCTTGTGTTTCCTTTGGAGCATACAGTGGTTAAAAAGCTCCCAGTTCCTGCTGATTGGGTAACTCTAGGATACTGGAGTATCCTAGATACCTCAGTAGGGGCTCTGCTGCAGAAATAGTAATGGGTGTTTGATACCACCACCACTGCACAAATGGATCTTAGTTATTTCAAAGCTCTTGGGTAGAAGAGCTGGAGAAATCTTTATACAATCTTGGACAAGTAGCTTACCTATAACCTGGCTCGTTCTAAGGTAGCATTGTACATCGGCCTTATGCCAGAGTTTGAAGAGATGATCTCCCCAGTACTGGATTAAAGTTCATGCATAGCTACAGAGTAGAAGCCCTGTGACATATTCAAGGTCCTTGTGGAGTATCCCCAGTGGTGGAGCTTCATGCTCGGGCATTAGGGGGTGGAGAGCCAGCAGGGGCGGGGCTAGTGCACGTCCTGGGGGTGTGGCGTGCTGCCCGCAGGGGTGTGGCACCCAGCACGGGTGGAAGAGCAGCCACGATGGCACCCCACCGGGATCACGTTGCTGGGAGCAGTGCGCTCCCCCCACACTCCTCGTCCTCCGCCAGTGCGTATCCCTGGCCCTGTATTCTTTTAAACTTCTCCATATCCCAAAGAAGCTTTCCAAAAATGCTTCTTGAACTTCATGCTCAGGGCCAATCTGCTGCATCAGATCAACAGAGGAATAGACTACTGAGGAAACCTGGTGGTGCAGTTAACCAAATGGACATCAATTGCAGCAGCATTTTGAGGGATGAAAATGCTCCAGATGCACACCCACCAATTATGGGATAGGGATACTTTGCCTTCTTGTTACGCCCCTCTTCACATACCAAGAATGAGTGTGGAATACCCACCCCTTCCTGCTACAAATATGCAACCTGTCACGCATTGCCGAAAGCTGTTGCCTGCCTTCTAAGCAGTCTGTTCATTTACTCTGTGGTAGTTTGTCCTGTGATGGAACTATGAGAGTGCTTGTTCTTTTGGCTACAGATATATTAGAAAAAACAATATTTGTTTCCCTCCCCCCCCACCCTGCAATGTTGCTGTCAGAAGTCTCAACATCTGAAACTGCAAGCTGAGACGGATTATATCTCTGTGTAAATTACTGAAAATTATTTCTAAATTTGCACCTAGACATACACATTAGCACCTGTAAATTTCATGCCACTCGGGGCCCTCTTAGGAGCCGACACAAAACAGAACACCCTGGTGCTACAATACAGATAACAATCTTCCTCCATTTGGGTGATGCATAAGCGGTGATATGTGAAAAGCCACGATCACATTTCGAGTGTCTGGGTTTGTTTTTGTCTATGTATTAAAGAGCAGCTGCTGGGTAGAAGATGGGGATGGAATAAAGATCAGGCCATAGGGACTACTTTTCCAGAATCTATGCACCAAACCACCCCATCACAAAGCTGCTCTTTATCACAGGAGACAAGCATTACCTTCTTCCAGTGCCATGATATTTTTCTTGGTTGGTGGGAGAGCATCATTATGACATGCACACAGATTCAGCAGATGAAGCAAAAGGCTTATTTCCTCTCCTGCGTCAAGCCTAGAGGATGTGTTGGCTGCCAGCTATGTCACCCACAGCACCGGTTAACTCTGCTTGGTCTCGCGTCTTACCGCTGAGCACCATAATGGCCTTCAATAACACAGAACGTTGTGTTTTGTCTTTCGGCATCTGCGTACATTCCTTTTCCCGGCAACCTAGGAAAGCTAAGGCAGATGCTTCCATAGAACCATGCATCCAGGTTGTCCTGCCTGCCTGCTGCCTTGAAAGGACCCTACCTTCTCTCTCCCTCTTTTCTTGAAGGACCCTGCTAACCTCTAGTCTGAAGCAGCTAGCCCTGGAGACTTAATGGAGATTCAGACCTGCTGACTTCTAGTTCCAGGTAACCAACCAGCTGCCATTTGGTTTTGTAAGTTTCTGGGAATGGCATAATAAACCTGGCATCGAAGTGGGAGGAGGAAGGAAGCAAATAATGAAGATAGGGTTTGGGTTAACCCTTACTGTGCTAATTCACCTTGCTGGGTCACTTTAGAAACCCACCAGTTAGGTAGTTTTAGACTCTGGGTTTATGGGTCTTATGGGTGGTTTGCCTCCAGGAAATTGTATTGGTTTGTTTACTTCAAAATGTGGTAAACCAGCCCTGCTGATCTCATTCTCCTGAGAAGGGCCTTGAACCTCTTGCCCCCAAATTCTACATTAACAGCAAGCACCGCTGGTATCCACTTGATGGGGAAATAATTTCTCGAGCTGGTTTTAAGGCAACAGGCCATACAGTATTGCTTTCTTTCTTATTTGTTTATTCATTCTTTAAAACTGAATGGCACACTCATGAAGATGTTTAAAGGAGGGGGAAGATCCTTGAGTTTTCAGCAGCTGCACTCCAGCCTAATATTATAAAAGGAAACATGGCCTCTTGTGTGAGATAACTTTTGATGGACATTAGGGTATTTAAAATGTGTGTGTGTGTTGTCAGAGAGAGAGAGAGAGAGAGAGAGAGAGAGAGAGAGAGAGAGAGAGCTTGGTTGTCATGAATATTATAGTAGAAAGAGAAACCCCCCTGGGCTAAAAACCTGTCTCCTTGACATTGTTTATAGCAGAACAAGAGCTCCTCAGAGTACTAATTGCTTTAATAGTGTAAGCAAACTCCTTCAGTTACTTGAGGAAATCTCCCTGTTGAGATAAAGGTCTTGTTGAAGCTAGCATAACACAGTAGCTGAGCCTGCAGTAGTTTTATTCATTTACCTGGGAGCAGTGCTTTTTTTCTGTAAAAATTTTTAGGGGTACTCTCATTTTCCTACTCATATTGAAATACGGCCCCTCAATGAGGCCAAACTTAGATTCACAAAATGTTTAGGGGGTATGCGTACCCCTGCATACCAGCAGGAAAAAAGCACTGCCTGGGAGCAAGTCCTATCGAACTCAGCAGGGCTTACTTCTGAGTAGGCAGGTGTCAGCTTGCATTGGAAGAGTCTTGCACTCTGACTTGGGAAGCCTCTCTTTTGAATCTTGGGTCTCTGCCGTGAACTTACTATGTAGCCTTAGGTAAGGCACAAATACAGTCAGCCTCCAGTCCTCATCTGCACTATAGTATAACCCACATCTGTACTCACTTCACAGGGTCATAGTGAGGACTGCAGCAATGTGTCTGAAGTGCTCTGATCCCTCTGAAGCAGGGGTGTAGGGGCCTGTCACCTTCCAGATGTTGTTGGACTCAACACCCATCAGCCAGCAGAGCCACCAGTCAAGGCTGATGGGGGTTGTAGTCCATCCACATCTGGAGGGCAGCAGTTCCCCATCCCTGCTCTCAAGTAGTGTATAAAAGCTAAGCTGTTAATGATGTTACTGAGCACAGGGGGCACTGAGGAGAAAGAATGAACATACCAAAGCCAGGCTTCCCCTTTCTAATCTGATTTTCATATTGGACAGCACTCAAGAATTTTCAACAGTTGCTCTGCAAGGAGAAATTGAGCAGGTGGAAACTTTTCCTATCACTGCACCTGTGGTGGTGATAAAACTTCACCTACTGAATTTCTGCCTGTTGTGTGTCTGTACCCATTAAAGCAAAAGGGATGCGGGTGGCACTGTTGGTTAAACCACAGAGCCTAGGACTTGCCAATCAGAAGGTCGGCGGTTGGAATCCCCGCAACGGGGTGAGCTCCTGTTGTTCAGTCCCAGCTCCTGCCAACCTAGCAGTTCGAAAGCACGTCAAAGTGCAAGTAGATAAATAGGTACCCCTCCGGCGGGAAGGTAAACGGTGTTTCCGTCCGCTGCTCTGGTTTGCCAGAAGCGGCCTAGTCATGCTGGTCACATGACCCGGAAGCAGTACGCTGGCTCCCTTGGCCAATAAAGTGAGATGAGCGCCACAACCCCAGAGTCGGTCACAACTGGACCTAATGGTCAGGGGTCCCTTTACCTTTACCCATTAAAGGAGGGATGGGGAACTCCCAGTGTTGTTGGACCACAACTCCCATCATCCCTGACTATGGGCCATGCCAAGCAACAGCTGGAGGACCACAGTTTCCTCATCACTGGTTAAAGGCACAGGAGCCATTCCTGGGTGTGAGTGTGTGAATTGTTGGCAACCCAGCACAAGCTTTCCTAATTGCTAACCTTGCCAGATGCAAAGAAGAAAAGAAGTTGGCATGAGGTGGACTTGTTTTGTTTTCTTTTTTAAAAAATGCATCTTCAGGGACCCTGTTTTGAATGTTTGCCTTCTGTTAGGATCTAACGTTTTGCTTCCATGCCACAGGACCAATCATGGTCAAGGTTCTCCACATCTGCCTTTTAAGAAAACAAACAAACATGGGGCCTTCCAGTTATAAAACCCTGAGCTTACATTAGACCACATCTGCACTGTATATTTAAAGCAGTATCATACCACTTTAAACAGGTATGGCTTCCCCCAAAGAATCATGGGAAGTATAGTTTGTTAAGGCTGCTGAGAGGATACCACCTACTACCCTCACAGAGCTATATTTATCAGAGTGACTTAACAATTAATCCCTCTTCCCAGGGAACACTGAGAAATGGTAGGTCTCTGAAGGGACCAGGAGATCTCCTAACAGCTCTCAGCATTCATAAAATTGTATGAGCCATGCAGGGGAATTCTCTCCTTTATATGCTAGTTTTCTGAGGGCAAGGGTTTTTGCACACAGATATGTGACCCACACACAGGGAAGCCCCGCTCCAAACATTTAAAGCACACCCATCACAGATTGGAAGCACATGGCTTTCAGTTCTCAGTACCCTTAAACTACAGTTCCCAAGATTCACTGGGGGAAGTCATGTGCTTTAAATGTGTGGCATGGATCTGCCCACACACATACCTGCAACCTGAAATGGTACAGTCCAGGAAAAGCTTGACCACTGCATCCTGCTGTATAAACATGGCTCGCAGCGAGAGAAAAAGCAGACCCTCTTGTATGGCGAGCGCCAAGAGAATATATTTTCTTTTTCCATGTGCCCAAAAGGGAAAGCTGTTCCAAGCAAAATGTCTGGGTCTGAGGAGTTTCCACCACAGCGGTTGATCAGGTTCTTGTTGAGACTAGCACTGTGTGTAAATGGCCTCTCAAAACTCTCTTCATTCTATTCGTCGTCTGAGAAATTAGAAAGGGTGAACCATTTCATTGAATCTCTCTAGAGCAATGGTTCCCAACTTTTTTTGTCCATTCCCCACCTAAGCATCTCTAAAATCTTGATGCCCCCCCACCATGACATATACAGTGGTACCTCGGGTTAAGAACTTAATTCGTTCTGGAGGTCTGCTCTTAACATGAAACTATTCTTAACCTGAAGCACCACTTTAGCTAATGGGGCCTCCTGCTGCCGCCGGGCCACTGGCGCGCGATTTCTGTTCTTATCCTGAAACAAAGTTCTTAACTTGAGGTACTATTTCTGGGTTAGCGGAGTCTGTAACCTAAAGCATCTGTAACCTGAAGTGTATGTAACCTGAGGTACCACTGTAATTCTTATTATTCAAAAACTGGACTCCTATTCACATGGAGGATGCCTAAAAGGCCATTAACAGTTGTTAATAACTCATTCTCGAATTGCCCCCCTTAAAAATCAAATTGCCCCCCTATGGGGCATGTGCCCCACGTTGGGAACCACAGCTCGAGAGAGGAGAAATTCTCCAGCAGTTTCTCAGGTGTGAGGCTCACCATTAACAGTGACAAGAATGCAAAGGTGTTTTTCTTTTTCTTTTTTGGTGCCACTGCAAATGAGGCCAGTAGCAAATGTGCCTTCTGCCTGGCTGCGCTTTGGTCTCTTCCAAAAGAGAAGTGTCTCACAAGGGGAGGTGGAGCCACTGGACCAACTTCCTGGCTGCTTGGTCACTGTTGCCTACCAAAGAGAAAGCAGGAGGTCAGCGTGGGGAGGTTAGTGTGGCCCAAACGCACTACCCTCTCTCATAACACCAGCACTCATGCACAGTGTCACTGTGTTGCCCCTAAGATGGGGGGAGGCATCATGCATATGTCAAACACCCTCCCATCAGATGTCAAAGAGATAAACAACTACCTGACATTTAGAAGACATCTGAAGGCAGCCCTGTTCAGGGAAGTTTTTAATGTGTGACATTTTAATGTATTTTTAATCTTTGTTGGAAGCTGCCCAGAGTGGCTGGGGAGGCCCAGATGTTCGGGGAACAAATAATAAATTATTATTATTATTATTATTATTATTATTATTATTATTATTAACGTCCTGCACACTTCACGCAATGTCACACACGTCTCCGAATGCTCCCCAAGCCGGTGCAGCATTCTGCGCTGTTGCACTGGGGCCCCTCAATATTGGGAGGGCTGAGCCCCCTTCAAACAATTATTGAGAATTCAGAAGACAACTCCAACCCCTTGAGTTGGCGCACCTGCTCATTGACTATCAATGAAGCTGAATATTGGAAAATTCACAACCGATAAAAGAAAGAAGTGCATAGTTAAGCTATAGAAATTGCTGCCACAAAAGGCAGTGATAGCCACCAAATCAGATGGCTTAAAAAGAAGTCATGGAGGATGAGACTATCAATGGCTACCAGACATAGTGGCTATGCTCTGCCTCAAGGGCCGGAAACTGTAATGTTTCCGGCCAGTGGGTTGCAAGCTGACCTTTGCTGAATCGCACTATCATCTTTTCTTTCGTGTATATATTTTATTAAATTTTCTGTTTTCCAGTTTAAGATACTCATTTTTACATCCTTAAGATATCAATGACTTCCCTTGTTCTCTTTCCATGGTTCATTTTGCATATCATAAATCGCTGCATATTACTATTGCATCCATCAAAGCTTATTTACACTGCTGAATTTATCTTAATGCTGCCAGCATTTTCAGCTGTACGCCATTCTTTCCCATATATTCAATAAACGTTTTCCAGTCTTCTCTAAACGTATGTTCTTCTTGTTCTCTTATTCTATATGTTAAGTCCGCAAGCTGCGCATATTCTGTCAACTTCAGCTGCCATTCTTCTTTAGTTGGGACCTCGTTCGTTTTCCATCTGGGGGCTAACATGGGCCACAGTAGCAGCATACATAAATAACTATCATCTTCTTCCTACTGTGCTCTCTAGCTTTTAGGACCAGCTTCCAGCTTTTGGCCCCATTTGTATAGTTGCCTCAGAGGCACCTGCTTCCTTCACCCATTGACACAGTTACCTGGTGGTGGTGGTATTGCTAATCTGGTTGCAGTAGAGGCTACTCCATTAAAGCAAATGGAGCACTGCCCCACAAACCCCCAGCTACCGTCAGCCAGTCCTGAGCTGCCTGCCTTCTTACTTACAAGCAGCCAGGGGAGAGCACAGCCTATCAGCTTCCTCCTCTTCACCTTAGTGCTGCCATTGGAGAACACAAGACAGAGGAGAATGGGTTGACTCTGCCTGTCATTGGCTCTTGCACCACCTGCTGTTGGTCTCCCTGCCTTCTGCCCTACCGGTCCCAAAGGGCACCACCCACTGCTGATTGGCTCCAGGCAGCTGCCATTTAAGTTCCAGTACTGTTTCAAAGCAGCACTATATCACAGGCACTAGAGGAATTAACGTGGTAGCCAGGGCCAGCCCAAGACTTTTGGGCACCTGAGGCAAGACGTGCTTCCCCACACAGCCCATGCTCCAGTGGAGAGGTAGGAGCATACCATCAGAGCTGGTTTGCTTCATGTCACCTCATTGGTGTGCCAGCTATGTTATGGCAGCAAACTAGCTTAGGGGCTGCAGGGCAGACCACATGGCACACCTTTCTAGACACTTTCCACCCCTCAGAATTTGCCGCCTGAAGCAGCTGCCTCACTCTGCCTCATGATAGGAAGCTACCAGACTTAGTGCCAGAAAAAAATTGAAGGAGGTCCTGGAAATGTGCTTGGCTGCCCAAGAGCCCTTCTGGAGCAATGGGGTCCTGGCAAATGCCAAAGGGTATCACATGGTGATGCCAGGACTGTTGCGTTTAAGAAAGAAAGAAAAAAAAACAGAAGGAGAGAAGGCGAATGACTGGGTGGAAATGAGGACAAGGGATCCTTTGCGCAAAAACAGCTGGGTAATAGGCCTAAACAGCTTGTTAACATTAATTGCAGCTTACTGAAAGTAATCGCAGTTTACTGCACCTTTGGGGGCAAACAGTAGCTCTGGTGGGGGTGATTTTTCTAGCAGGAAACCAGCGCAAGGAACAATACGGATCAGAAGTGTGATGCTGTATAAAGGCACTGCTGGCTGCTTTTGGTTCAAAACAAAAGTGAATTTGTTAGACATACACGCACAATGTACTTTGGCTCACAAAGTCCTCCTGTCCTGTCCTCTTTTGGCAATTGATGATCCAGAGAGAAATGGAGAAAGATAGGCCTATTCAGAAAATTGATTTATACACTGGGTCCTGGGTGCTTGAAGATGACAGCTCTAAGCTATGTTTTCTTTCAAGAGTGAAACACTAGCTCCCATTGCAGCAGACGTGAGGTGCACCCAGTGAAGACCTGTTCTCTTTGTGGGGCTTTCAGATTTTCCAAAATCTGGCTGTTCTTTCCAATGTAAGGTGCACATTTACTTGGATGGAAATCCCTTTGCATTTGTTTGTATAAAACTCAGACACCTTCAGTGCATCCGTGCGTTCAGCTAATTCCCTGCTTTTGCCCTTCAGTGCACACATACCTCTACCTAATGGGGCTGACATAAATAATTCTGCCAGCTCCTCCTTCTTAGAATATAACTTAGGAAACAGGTTGGTCCAAACATCTCCTTATTTCATACCCTCCAAGTGTCCCTATTTTCCAGGGACATCCCTGATTTAGAGAAGCCGTCCCAGTTCCTGATTTGATCCCGGAATGTTCCACTTTTCCTAAGGATGTCCCTATTTCATTGGAGGGTAAGGAGTTATCTGACGCTCGAGCTGTCTGAAGGCAATCCTGTATAAGGAGGGGTTTTTTTAATGTTTAATGTTTTATAATGTTTTTATATATGTTGGAAGCTGCCTAGAGTGGCTGGGGCAACCCAGTAAGATGAATAGTAAAATTATCGTTATGGAATGGGACGTCCCTATTTTTAGTGGAGAAATGTTGAAGAGCATGTTATTTTGTTTCAGTTAATTTGATGACCAAGGAATTGCGGCAATTAAAACAAAAAATAATAAGGACGGGAGAGGAGAAGAGCACCATCCCAAGTAGCTAAATGTATAAAGGAGTTTCAGTCTTGGGGTGGTTTGGAAGCCGGTCAGAATGGAATAAATTTCTTATTTTTGCTACAGCTGAGAAAACACACACACAAAAAGTCACAGAAGTATATTTATTTCTGTATTTGGGTTCAGGCGTTTGCCTTATTTAAGAAGGGAGGGGGGAGAGAGAGATGTAAAATGAGTTCCTCCCCTGCCTAAAAACTCTCCCCTCCCATTTCCTGAAGCAAGCTGGATTTTGAACAGAAAAACTCTCAGTTCTAGGAAGGCATCTTGTGAAAACAATCAGGGATTTGTTCACAGAAGTGTGCACTAAATCACGGGACCCAAATGAACCAGAGCTCCTCCACATTTCCTCCATTCATTATGTTAAAGCCCTGTTTGGGCAGGACTCCCTAAGCATCAGATCTCTGTTCTGGCCCATGGTGTGGTTGAGGGGTCACAAAATGAAACTGATTGGCGGTTGGTCCAAGACTGATAAACCAATGTCCATTTTTATGCCATGTTTATTTACTTACAGTAAAAGGCGAGGCACCTCAGACTCAGGAGCCAAATGTGGCCCTCCACACCTTTCAGTGTGGCCCTTGGGGCTATTCCCAGGATATCCTCTTCCCCAGCCACGCCCCCTCTTAACAGACCACACCCTTCTCCAGCCCTGCTTTCCACCCTCAAGTCATTTTCCCATCTAGAATATGTTTTTGAACCCTGATCATGCATCTTGCCTCCCTGATTGGAGGAAAGAGAGCAGTGTGTCATTTTGTGTAGAAAATGGTCTGCCTTCCAGACTACAAGCACCCAATTTTGCAAGGGGTGATGATGGCTGCTTGCTTAGAAGGCTTCCAGAAAGAATGATAATATGAACGCCAGTTGCTTGGGAATAAAAGAGGGGGGAGTCTATTGCACTCACAGCCTGCTTGCAGTCTTCCTAGAGGCACTGCACAAAACACAATGCAGGAATTGATAGGCTTTTGGTCTGATCCTGCAGGATTTTTCTTAGGTCCTTATGGTGCTCAGATGCAGAAAAATAGATGACTAAGAGGTCACAATAGAGGGGTGTTTTGGTTTGTTTTTCGATTAGTATAAAGAGAATGGACTCACAATTTTTCTCCTTGTCTCATAATACTAGGCGAATCACCCAATGAAAGTGATAGGACTAAGAGCATAGGAACAGAATAAGAGCCTGCTGGATCAGGGCCAAGGCCAATCCTGTTTCCACAGTAGCCAACCAGGGGCCTAGAAAAAGAAGGCCACTTTGCTGAATCTGAATCTCATCCACTATTTTCATGTGTTGGCCACCACTTTCTCTCCAGTTTGTTATGTCTTTCTATATGCTGCAGCTTCAACAGAATTGGTTCCAGGATGTTTTTTTACATCATCATGATAGATTGTATCCAGCTAAGTTCTAGTTGGAGTACAGCCACTGAAATTAATGAACCTTAGTTATTCACATGCGTTCATTTCAATGGGATTACTCTGAGTAGGCCAGCATGGTATAGCGCTTAGCATTTCAGTGTAGGACCTTGCAAATCAGAGTTCATCCTCACTCAGCCATAAAGAACAATGGGTGGCCTTGGACCAGTCACTGTCTCTCAGCCTAACCTACTACGCAGGGTTATGTAGGAATAAAATGCAGAGGGGGTGAACCAAGTTTGCTGCCTTGAGCTCCTTGGAGGAAAGGTAGAAACAACAGCAATGCTGGATACAACCTAATTAACATTACTAATTAATAATATATCACTCAGTGAAGGTTCTTCTCCCCCATTGTCATTTCCAGAAGATTGCCTCTAGTTGAACCAATGCTTGCCCCACACCTCTCGCAAATACAGGACCCACTCTCACTTCTTGCCACCTTCGTTCCACAAAAGATGGTGCTGTCCATTTCTCTCTAACACAGCTCTTTTGTCTTTGTGCTTCTTTCAGGAAAACAATGACCACTTTTCTACTAGCCTTTGTGTGTTTGCGAATCATCACTGCAGCTGTCGCTGTGGAAGTCTTAGGTATGTGAGACCTCCGGAGCCATCCTTAAAATATATGAAGTTTTGTGTGTGGAGAGTGTTAGGCCTTCCTGTGAACAGTATCCTGTTCTCACAGCGGCCAGCCAGTTGCATGTGGCAAACCCACAAACAGGACCCAAGCACAAGAGCACTGTCCCTTCCCTTGGTATTCAGAAGCATTACTGCTTCCAAACATGGAGGCAGAACCTAGCCACCAGTGGTGTGTGGTCTATGGACATGGGGCACTGGCTACTCCCTTACATGTTCCCAGTAAATTAGAATATTAAAGCCTAGCACCTCCTTCCCAAAGCCTGGGAAGCTTCTACCTGGCTTAGGGAGGGAGGCACCAGAGCCGTCTTTCCCACTGGGTTTACTGGCGCATTGCGCCAGGGCACCAGCCTCTCAGGGGTGCCCCAGTGAGTGGGTGAGCTTTGCTGGTGGCCTCCCCTTTCCCTCCTGCACGTCTGCCAGCTGCGCCCCATCAGCCATATGGCTAGCAGACATACAGCTACCTTCCCAAGCCTCCGCAGGAGGAGAGCGATCCCCGCAGAGGCTTAGGATGGAAGCTATGCCCCGCCAACTATATGGCTGGCTGATGTGCAGCTGCCTTCCTAAGCCCCCACGGGAGGAGAGCGATCCCTGCAGAGGCTTGGGAAAAGGTCGGCAACTCTGGGAAATGGGGGGGGGGCGTCAGAGGTAGCTTTGCACCACGGCACCGGATATGCTTAAGACGGCCCTGGGAGGCATGATGCTACGACTGAGTCCAGGACCTCCCACCATCTTCCCAAAGCCTCCCCAGCTTTGGGAACGAGGCAGCAGGACTCTAGTATCCTGTCCAAGGCCTGGCGCCCCCTTCCCAGAGCCCGGAAGTTTCTGCCCGGCTTAGGGAGGTGCAATGTTCATGCGTGCAACATCAGGACATTGTGATGTCGCACGCATGATGTCGGGGGGCCCATCACCTTTGTAAGTTGGTGCCTCTAGCCCTAACAATGCCCCTATGAAAAATTTCACCCCATGCCACCGATAGCCACCATGTCTAGCAATGGATGAATGTTGCTGATTTCTCCCTCTCTCACCTCCTCATCTTCTTGGAACCAGCAGATCATGGTGCCACACTGAGTGTGAGCATACCTTTACGCTCCCCCCTGCGCATTCCCCTGGGAAACACCCTGACCATCCCCTGTTACTACATCGACACATTGGAACACGTCACCACGTCTCCGTTCACCCCGCCTCTGACTCCACGGATCAAATGGAGCAAGCTGTCAGGCGGCAAAGAGGTTGTCTTGCTGGTGGCCATGGATGGGCACGTGAGAATCAACACTGCATACCAGGAGGTGGTCTCTTTGCCCAATTACCCAGCCATACCCACTGATGCCACGCTGGAAATCAAGGCACTTCGCTCCAACGATACCGGGATCTATCGCTGCGAGGTGATACATGGCATTGAGGATAGCCAGGACACCGTAGAGGTGAAGGTAAAAGGTAAGGTTGCATCTTTTCCTGTTGCTGCTGCTACGGCTGACCTTTTTGAGTTAGGTTCTCCAGATGGCCATGCACCTCACACAAGGAGTGGTTGCCAGGGCAAGCTAGCAGGGCTTACTGCACCTTCCACTACTGGCATTACTGCAGCTTACCAGGAGGCGGTGAGTTTGGTGCGGCCCACCATCACCGACGGCTGTTAGATGCAAGAGAAGTTGGCAATCATGGAAGTTTGCTTCGCTGGGTCTAAATGCAGGAGTGGGGGGATTTTGACAGGCCCATGGCATTGTCGGAGACTGGGCAGAAGAGGAATGGTGGAGACCGCCTCCCCATCCTGACCCTTCCAGGGAGAAGGAAGACGAAGACAGTATAGATTTACAACAGGGGGTTGAGGGAGGTTGCAGCTCAGAGGCAGATGAAGGGGAAAGCTGGGAAATTATGGGAAAGACAGAGCAACACTCGGCTGAAACGCTGTCATTAGAAAGCATTCCAGGCCCTCCAGATTCCAGAACCCGGAGAGCCTTAAAAGTAGGAGAGCAAAGAGCTCAAAGACAGAGGGCACTTCTCAGCACCCGTAGAGGAGATGATGAGAATGATGAATGAGGAAGTGGGAGAGACGACCGGTGGAGATTCACTCAGGACAACGCCATTATCCAAGAGGCTGGGTTCAATCTCTGCAAAGATTGAAATAAAAAAAGGCTGTAAGAAACTTTTCCTTGCCTGGGCAACCAGCCGGGAGCTGCTAACAGCATCCTGACAGACATGGGGATAAACCTTTAACTGCATTCTGTGCTTGCCATGGTAGTAATCCTGCTCACCTATCAATTGGTGTTAAAGGGGGAGGGGATAAACAGACTGATCAAATGGACTTTAGGGTTAGATTACAGGTCACCACCATGGTACCTTTCCCCTGCCCATCCTGAAATTTGACTTGAAAGAAACATTGTGTTGTAGCCAATGAGAATAAGTTGCGGTGTGTGCTTGGTTGCAGCGTGTGTGTTTGTGTGCGGTGCCTGCAATGCTTTCTCCAGTTTGAAGGAGGGCCCGTGGGCCCCAAAAGGGAAGTTTATGTGTTTCAGAACTGCAGGGACCCAGAAGCAAGCACACATGCAACGCTAGATTCTCTGCAGTATCACTCCAGTTCCTGAAAACCCTAAGTCGCTGCCCTCTGCCTCACTTTTATTTAAGCTCAACTGGTTTGGGTTATTTACTGATGTGTGTATGTATGTTGGTGAACATGTTTTCCAGGCATCGTGTTCCATTACAGAGCCATCTCCACCCGGTACACTTTGGACTTTGAGAAGGCCAAGCAGGCCTGCATCCAGAACAGTGCTGTCATTGCAACTCCAGAACAGCTCCAGGCTGCCTACGACGATGGCTTTGACCAGTGTGATGCTGGATGGTTGGCTGATCAGACGGTCAGGTAAGTGCTGGCAGGGAATTATATGAACCACAGGGTTTCTCAATTGGTCATTGGGGACAATTCAGGTTATCATGGACAAGGAATCAGAAAAGGGTCAGAGGTCAATGTGACTAGGGGCTGCTCCACACCGGTTTTTGCTTCTTGCAGCTGTATTCTGCAACATGGCATTGGGTATATTGTTGATTTTCCTGCTCTTTTTGTACTGCAGTACCTGTTGGGTTATGGAGCTGTAGCTTTTTGACCCATATACCCTCATGTTATATCAGATTTCATTCACACCAGTGGACATCTCAACGAATGTCACTGGACGTTGCTATTCTTCCATCTTTTCTGCACATGCAAGCTTCTTTTTCCTCATGATTCCCCCCTGAAAACAGCAGGGAAGAACTGCATGTGGGAATGCCACCCCAATTTTCATCACTTTGATCCTGCAATTTCCCAGGTTAATGGAACATTTGCCCCCCCCCCCAATCAGATCAAGGGGTGCACATTGGCCTTCTCCCTCAAATTTCATATAGATGCTAAAGAGGTTTGGAGTGGTGATGACTGACCAGGAACAAGACCTGGGGATTGTAGTGGATAACTCAATGAAGATATTGACCAAGTGTGTGGCAGGTGTGAAGATGGAGAAGTCCATGTTAGGGACTGGAAATTAAACGGCCAATATCACAATGCCGTTATACAACTCTATGTTGTAACCACACTTGGAATACCATGTACACTTCTGGCCATCTCACCTCCACAAGGAAGTTGTAGAGCTGTAGCAGGTTCAGAAAAGAGTAATCAAAATGATCGAGGGGCTGGAGCAACTCCTCTATGCGAAACGGTTGCAACATTTGGGGGTTTTTTGTTTAGAGAAAGGCAATTGAGTGGGTACACGATGGAGGTGTCTAAGATCATGCATGGCATAGGGAAAGTGAATAGAGAGGTGGTTTTCTCCCCTCTCTCATACTTTTAGATCCTGGGGATTCAGCATTGATAATATAATTTACTATATTTTTCGCTCTATAAGATGCACCATACCATAAGACGCACCTAGTTTTTGGAGGAGGAAAACAAGGGAAAAAATATTCTGAATCCCAGAAGCCAGAACAGCAAGAGGGATTGCTGTGCAGAGAAAGCAGCGATCCCTCTTGCTGTTCTGGCTTCTGGGATAGCTGCGCAGCCTGCATTCGTTCCATAAGACGCACACACATTTCCCCTTACTTTTTAGGAGGGAAAAAGTGAGTCTTATAAAGCAAAAAATACAGTACTTCTTCATGCAGCTCAGTCAAACTTTGGAAACTGCTTCCACAGGGGCAATGATGGCTACCAACACGGATGGCTTTAGAGGAGGATTAGACAAATCTATGAGGTCAACACTGTATATGGCTTGACTACTAACCCTGATGCCTATGTTCTACCTCTACTGCTGGTGGTAGTATATCAAGTAGGGACAGCTGCTGTTGCATTCAGGTTCTGCTTCCAGGCTTCCCATGAGCATCTGGCTGGCTACTGTGAGGATGCTGGACTAGATGGGCTTTTGATCCAGCTGCTAGGCTCTTCATACATGCATAGGTGTATATCCAAATTCTGCTTAGGTTCCCTTTGCTCTTCAAGATACTACCTCCATCCCAGCACCATACAGTAAACAGTATTTCTCCACCCTACCCCCAGGCAATACAATCTCTTCTTCTCACTGAATCTCTCACTGAATCAGGTACCCAATGCACCATCCCCGGGAAGGTTGTTATGGTGACAAGGATGAGTTTCCTGGAGTGAGAACATACGGTGTTCGTGAGACGGATGAGACGTACGATGTGTATTGTTATGCAGAAGAAATGGAAGGTAATTGTTTCTTACTTATTTAACACTTATTCACGCCATTTGCCACCTCAAGGTACTCATGACATTTGGTGGTTTGCGGCCCTCTTGTGATGCAGCAGAGCCCTGGGTGACTTTACATTCCTGAGTTAGCTTCTCCAAGTGCTCAAGGATATCATTTTGAATAAAATATACGTGCAATCTTATCTGCCCCAGTGGTGGTGAACCTCCAGCCCTTGGAACAAACTTCACCTGTCACGTCTCCCCATTTAGACCACAAAGCCATTTTCTCCAAGCCATGACTATCTGCACCACACATGTCATATGTGATGACCGGTGTCAGGCAGGTAAAGGTGGCTGTGGGGGGGCAGGATTAAACTCCCCAAGGAAACTGGCTGGCCTTGCAGATTATAGGATTGGACCCCGTTCCCCAGGCATCAGCTGAGGTGAGTCTCGCTTGGTTCAGTCTCGCATCAGCCAGTTCAAACGACATTTTAGTGGCATCTCTAACTATATAAACCTCCTTGGCTTTCATCCAGTATCTGCAGACTATCTTTCCTATTCATGACATGCTTGCCATTTTGCATCTCCTCACTTATGTTCTCTTTGACCCCTTGACCCTGTGAACTATCTAAGAAAAGGCCAAGATCACTGTGTAAAAAGGAAAAGATGCAAACCTTCGGCTAATCCTTGGTTTAAGTGTTTTAGATTACTGCAGTTTGTGGGAGAGCTTCTCCTGCAAATTCCAAAGATTTCAGAAGCCACAGTAACTCAGATCAGGGCCTTTAGTGTGACTGTCCCTGTTTTGTGGAATAGCAATCCTGTTGAGACACGACAGGTGCCCACTACCTCCACTTTCCAGAAACAGTTGAAGACATTTTTGTCCCAAAAGGCTTTCCCAGCTAGTTAAACCGGTCTTGACCATGAGTGTCCAATTGTTAGGGTTTGGGCTCTTGTTGTTTTTGTGCTTTTAACTATCTTGTGTGTAAATTGCCTTGAGACAGTGGTTTAGAGGGCAATTAATAAATCAATTGTAATAAATAAAAATTGCTATGTGTGATTGCAGGGAAAGTCTTCTACGCCACCTCCCCGGAGAAATTCAGCTTCCCAGAAGCTGCAGAGAAATGCCACCGCCTCGGCGCTCGTTTGGCAACGACGGGAGAACTGTACTTGGCCTGGAAGGATGGAATGGATGTCTGCAGCGCTGGCTGGCTGGCAGACCGCAGCGTCCGGTATCCATCAACAAGGCACGGCCCACCTGTGGTGGCGGCCTGGTTGGGGTGCGCACCGTGTACCTCCACGTCAACCAGACAGGGTATCCTCACCCCCATTCCCGCTATGATGCCATCTGCTACGCTGGTAAGTGCTGGGTCCCAAGTTATTTCTTCGTACTTTCCTAGATGCAAGAGTACAGAAGCATGAGAGTCATCAGCCAATCTCCAGTAGTAGTCAGTGGGTTATCTAACCTCCTGTCACCATCAGAACTTGCAGCTTTACTGGGTGGAAGAGGTGATGGGATTGGGAGAGACACCCATTGTCAGGGACTGGGCTGAGGGGAACGGGACTGAGGAGGTATGGTGGAGGCCGGCCGCCCTCCCCTTGAACCTTTTAGAGAAGAGGAAAGCAGTATTATTATTAATAATAATATTTATACCCTGCCCTCCCCGGCCAGAGCCGGGCTCAGGGTGGCTAACACCAGTAAAATTACAGTAAAAACATAATGGGGGGAGACAATTTAAAATACAGGTTAAAATGCAATTTAAAATGCAGCCCCATTTTAAAAGTAACCCATAGATCAAAACCATAAGGGGAGGGAAACATAAGGGTCAGACTGAGTCCAAACCAAAGGCCAGGCAGAACAGCTCTGTCTTGCAGGCCCTGTGGAAAGATGTCAAGTCCTGCAGGGCCCTAGTCTCTTGTGACAGAGCATTCCACCAAGTCGGGGCCAGTACTGAAAAGGTCCTGGCCCTAGTTGAGACCAATCTAACCACCTTGTGGCTTGGGACCTCCAAAGTGTTGTCATTTATGGACCTTAAGGTCCTCCACGGGGCATACCAGGAGAGGTGGTCCCGTAGGCGGCCCTGTATTGATTTACAGCAGTGGTTTGAGGAAGCTCACAGCTCAGAGACAGGTGAACAGAAGAGTTGGGAGGTGTTGGGAGAACAGAAGGGGGAGACAGAGGCAGAGCAGCCAGCTGACATGTTATCACTGGAAAGCATACCCAACCCCCCTTCCCTCAAAACCCAGCGTGCATTGAAAGTGGAAGAGCAAAGGGCTCAAAGACAATTAGCCCCGGGCAGCCACCATAAGGGGAAGTGCTGTTACTAGGAAGGGAGGGAGGAGGAGCTCAGCTGGAGCATCACCATTAATCTAAGAGGCAGCATACAAGAGCCTCTCACTGTGAATACCAAATAAAGACTCGGTAAGAGCTTCCTTGTCTACTTCATTGGGTGTCTGCTGTGAGCAGGGGAGGATCAGAATTCACTGAAGCCTGACACCCATGGAGAGCCACTTCTAGTCAGTGTGGACAATATTGAGCTAGATCTGTCCACCGTGTAAATTTTCTATACCCCCCCCCGATGTAGCATTGTTTCAGGACTTTGGGGGACCTAAGGTTGTAGCCTGGCAATGCTTTGTATTCATCCATTGCATTCCTATCTGTCAGGGCCGCCTCAGGTCCCAGCTCACAAGAGACCAACGCCAAGTCCACTTTATATACAAAGATCTTTATTGCAGTACATTGTATGCTCCACAGCCGAGGCGCGCAGCCCCACGTCTGTTACGCTTAGACCGCTGAAGTCCCCTCTGAATCAGTCCCACCTCTACACCAGTTTAAGAGGCTTGTGCTGCTCCACCTCTTCCTTTCCTTCCTTTCCGCAGGGTCTTCCTGCCCCCTGGGGTTTCGCCCCTCCTGGATTCCCCTGACGCTGAATCCCCAGACAACTCTTTCCCCCTCCTGCGTGCTTTGGGACCTGGCTCCTCCTCCGGGCTCTCTGTATTTCCGCGCGCCCGCTACCTCTGACCTTCCTCTTGACAGTTACACTACTCCCTGTACTACTCTCCGCCCCTTCCGGGAGGACGTCTTGCCCCGATCTCCTTCCCCTCTCTGCTTCCTGCTCTGCTTCTCCTGTCACACTGGAAACTCCACCCCCTTCACTCCGTTCCGGCGGAGAAGCCGGCCCCGATTCCCAACTCCCACTCGGGGTTCCCCTGCTGCTCCCCTGCTCCTGACGAGTCCCCCCTGTGACTCCCCTTGGCCTGACCACGGGCGCCCCCTTTTGTGAATCCTCCGATTCACTTGAAAGACTCATGGAATCCCTCAAGTCATTGTCATCCTCTTCCTCGTCGTTCTGGGATTCTTCCCCCTCGCTCTCAGTCTCCTCCCTCATCTGTGCCTCTCTCCCTGAACCCCTGACACTATCCAATGAATCCTCACTCTTCCACCCTAGGTCGCGACTTGGACACAATCATCCATGAGAACTTCACCGGTGAGATAATTGATGAACTGGGCAGTGGCTTCACCATCCAGACAGTCACTGAGACAGATGTTGAGCTGGAATTCGCACGCAACGCCACTGAGGAGGAGGCCCGAGGCAGCATTGCCACCTTGGAGCCAATAGACTTTACCGCCTCGGAGGTGGACGAAGGCTTCACAGCAACACCAGATCTCTTTGTTACTAGCTTCGTTGAAGAGGCAGAGAACAGGACAGATGTGGGGATCTGGGAGGGTCTAGAAAACGCCACCTTCTCGCTCCTAGATGCTCTTCCCACCACTGATACCCTGGAGGTGAGCTCGGTGGAAGACAGCTTGTGGGCTACCGTCACGCCAGGAGTAGACTCCACCTTGTCATTTACCGGGGAAGATCAAATTGTGCCGGGAACAGCTGCTCCTGATATTGGCCTCATTCCTGGGCAACCCATTTCTCCCACAGGTATGTGGCAATGCCTAGTGCTATATGCAAATGCAGGGGAACAAAATCCACCTGATTCAGTAGCCCAGTGCGGTCCACAGCAAATCACATAAGAATGTAAGAAGAGCCTGCTGGATCCGGCAATGTCCCATCTAGTCCAGCATCCTGTTCTCACTGTGGCCAACCTGAAACCAGCAAGAGGGACCCTATCACACCTAGAAATGGACAAGTCTGGCAAGTCCAGTTTCCCATTTTTCCAATCCGGTGTTCACTTCTCCAGATTTCTCCATCAGCTAGGAAACCTTAAAAAAAAATGACTTCATGAAAAATTGTCAGCATTTTTGTTTCATTTTTCTAAATACACACGTTTTTGCATGTGATTGCCCCTAATCTAATGCAAATTTTGTTATTGATTTCACTGAGACACACATTATTATGCATACTTTCCCCTAATATATGAATTTTGGGGCACATTATTGGGTTGGAGAGCTTCATCACAAAATTCATAGGTGTGAATTTCAAAGAATAGCTGCATTCTGCTTTCCATATTGTTTTAAGAAGTGCAGATTGGGTAAGTTCGCATCAAAATGAAAAACCTAACTGAATTTCTCCTACATCCCTAATCAGAAATATTTCAAGGAAAACAGGACTGAGCCAAAACCAGTGACATACACTCATCCTCCAGAGGGAACTGCTTTTAGAGTCAGTTTCAGTTCTCCGGAAACACATATTGAAATTGCAGAAATATTAGCACATCCCTAGGGGAAATGCAATGCAAGTGTTGATGGGTTTATGCCCAATTGCCCCTTCAGTTGTTTTTCCTTTTCCTTCAACAGGTGTCATCTTTCATTACCGGCCATCCACCAACAGGTATTCCCTGACTTTTGTCAAAGCTCAGCAAGCTTGCCTGGATAATAATGCTGTGATTGCCACTCCTGAACAGCTGCAGGCAGCCTATGAGAATGGTTACGACCAGTGTGATGCTGGCTGGCTGAGAGACCAGACGGTCAGGTAAGGACAGATGATGACTCAGCAAGTCCAGTGGGAAGGTTAATGAGTAGGGTATTTTTAGCCTGCAGGGTACATGATGAAGTGGTGGGGTGGATGCCATCTTCAAGCATTTGAATAGCTGTTGCGTTGATGATGAAGCCAATTTGTTTTCTATTGCTCCAGAGAATAAGGATCTGAATTAGTGAGTTCAAGTTACAAGGAAGAGGGTTTCAGCTAAAGCAGGGGTAGGGAACCTTGGGTCTTCCAGATGCTGCTAAACTATAACTCTTGCCTTCCTTGACCTCTGGCCATATTAGCTGGACTTGATGAGAGCTGGAGTCCAAAAACATCTGGAGATGAATAAGGTCTATGTCTCTGACTTGATGGGAATTGGAGTCCAATAGCATCTGGGAGGCAATGGGGTGGTGGCTCCGCCCACCTGTCAACATGGCACAAGGTGGGGGGCAGCTCAGAATCCAGCCTGATAGCAAGCTCCTTTGCTCTCCTCAAAGTACTATAACTGTTGCTTACAGAGAGCCGGTGTGACATAAGTGGCTAAGATTTTGCAAATCCCAGGACAAATTGCATGCAGCTGCCAGTCCCAGTGTCAGTATTTGACCAGATGATCCTTCTAAGACTGGAATGCTTCTTGTAAGATGATGTTTGTGTTGGGATACTGCCAGGGAGACATCATCCATCAAGGCCCCACGTCGATTCCGGACGATCCATCGATCTCCCGTAGACACGCAGTATCATTCAATTAGCGACACGAGCCCCAGAAATAGCTTCCCACATTCCAGAGCTCTTGCACGCTCTATCAGCACATAATGCACAGCGAAAGATGCACACAGGAGAGCATTATTTACAATTTTATTCAGCGTTGGTCAGAACAAAGAAAACATGACTGCCTGCTTCAGTGTCTCAGACACAGAGAGAAACGAAAGCAAAGACAAAACATAAACTTCCTGTGAACAGGAAATACGCAGACTCTGTGACTCACAAAGCCTGCTCCCTTTTAAGGTGGAACGGAAATATCCTAACAGTTTGCTGTGCCACAGGTGTGCATCTTTAAAAAACAAAAAAGGATTCTATTTTCTTTAGACCTATTGTTTCTTCTCATATGCAGATTTATTATTATTATTATTATTTACTTATACCCCGTCCATCTGGCCGGGCCTCCCCAGCCACTCTGGGTAGCTCCCAACAAAATATTTAAAACACGGTAAAACATCAAACATTAAAAACTTCCCTAAACAGGGCTGCCTTCAGGTGTTTTCTAAAAGTCACCTGCTGAAAACTTTTTTGTTTTGTTTTGCCAAGCATACCTAGAAATATAATGAGTTACCCTATATTTGTTTCAAAAGTGTTATTGAGTTTCTATTTGCTTTTAACGGTGGTGGTTCCATGCATATTTGTTTGTAATTGGTTTGTGGAGCTTAGCTGTGTTTTACTTACAGCTTTATTCTGCACACCACGCAGAAAGATCTTTGATCAAGGGGTTCATACATCTTCTAAATAGATAGATGGGTGAGATCTTGGGTAAAAAATTAACAAATGTCTTTAATGGCCAGGTACCCTATTGTGGTTCCGCGAAGCAAATGTGAAGGAGACAAAGACGACATCCCAGGGGTACGGACATATGGCATGCGCCCATCATCCGAGATGTTTGATGTCTACTGCTATATTGACAAACTGAATGGTAAGTTTTCTTCCATAATTCCTGTGTTGGAGGTAGGGGAGTAAAGTGCATTTGAATGTATTCATGCGCCAGACACAGTTCCGGATTTACGTATAAGCTAAACAAGCTATAGTTTAGGGCCCTGCTCTCTTGGTGGCCCCCCAAAAAATTAAAGGAAAAAACCTGGATGTATATTTCCAAAATATAAGATAAAAAAACAAATGAAATAAAACCTACATACAGCAACAGTCATGGGCCCCACCTGCTAGCCTGCTCCCTAAAATATCACTGGTTTGCTCATTTCTATATATAGGGTGTCTGCATTCTGCGTGGACTGGTTTCATGGCAACATGTAGCATGCAGCTGCAGACTGCAGTGCAACACAGTTGAATGTAGGTCAAGCTGTTGTACCTGTTATCTAATATTAAAGAGTGCTTGTAGACTGGTAATCAGGCAGCATAGACTAAGGGTGTGAGTCTTATGCCTACTGATTGATTTCATGTAATACATAATTTATTTATTTTGATCCCATTATAAAACTACTGTAGAAAAATATTCATCTTTATTATTTAGTAGACCTATATTATTATTGACTAGTACGTACAGTTCCCTATTGCCTCCACTTACTACTATAATACTATATATAAATATTATAATTATTCAACACAAAAAACAGTGACAATTTGTTGTTGACAAAGGACAGCTGGACATATAAAGGGCCCCATTACCTTCAGTAGCTTAGGGCCTCATCAAACCTAAATCTGGCCCTGGCCAGACATGTTAATATTCTGGTTGCCTCACCTCAAAAAGGATATTGTAGAGTTGGAAATGGTTTAGGAAAGAGCAACCAAACTGATCAAGGAGACGACGCACCCCCTATGAAGAAACGCTACAGCATTTGGGACTTTTTAGTTTAGAGAAAAGGCAAGTAAGAGGTGACACGGTAGAAGTTTATAAAATCACACCTGGCATGGAGAAAGTGGTTGGAGAGAAACATTTTCCTCCCTCTCCCATGGCACTCATAAACATCCAATGGAACTGAATGCTGGAAGACTCCATCTTCAGTCAAGTGGTTTAACCATTTTTAATGATCAGCTTGGTTTGCCAAGCTGTTAGACTATTCCAAAATGGCAAAACTGACCGGAAAGCTCAGGGATCAAGAAGACAAAAACTTCAAGAAAGAATGGGGGGGGATTTATAATTTACTTAGGAGACCACTGTAAGCAGATGAAAACATTAGCAGGATTTTAATCTAACTTGCAGTGTAACAAATACTATGGACAATATGGATAGATGCAAAATATAGACTATGAAATGATATGCAGTTGAAAATGTTGACAATAGGACCCATGGAGGGGATGGGAAAGTCTTGAGATTCAAAGAAATCTCTCTATTTGGTTTTGTTATAAATTTATATTTGTAAAATCAAATAAAAATGATTAAAAAAACAACAATTTTTAACAATCAAATCTTCTTCCTGGGGAACCTTTCTGAGGGGAATAGGGGTCTCCTAAGAATTCTCAGTAAGGTAAGAAGGTAAAGGTACCCCTGCCCGTACGGGCCAGTCTTGACAGACTCTAGGGTTGTGCGCCCATCTCACTCAAGAGGCCGGGGGCCAGCGCTGTCCGGAGACACTTCTGGGTCACGTGGCCAGCGTGACATCGCTGCTCTGGCGAGCCAGCGCAGCACACGGAAACGCCATTTACCTTCCCGCTTGTAAGCGGTCCCTATTTATCTACTTGCACCCGGGGGTGCTTTCGAACTGCTAGGTTGGCAGGCGCTGGGACCGAGCAACGGGAGCGCACCCCGCCGCGGGGATTCGAACTGCCGACCTTTCGTTCGGCAAGCCCTAGGCACTGAGGCTTTTACCCACAGCGCCACCCGCGTCCCTAGGAATTCTCAGTACCTTTGCCTATATTTCCCAGGATTTTGGAGGAAGCCATGACTGTTTAAATTGGAATGACGATGCTTTAAATGTATAGTGCAGGTGGGACCAGCATTAGTAATCTCACTGTCCCCCATGGTGAAATTTCATCACTTATATAATTTGCATATTTAATTACAAAAATTATGTTCTCATTACATTGATCCACCCCACGTATTTTGGTGCAGAGGAAACTCAATGCAAATATGGAGGAATGTAATCAATCAAGTCCCATTTGCGGACTGAAGGCAAAGGTGAACAGCAATCATATTTGCTGGACTAAATTATGTTTCACACATGAGACGAATAAGGGAATGTCAGCAATTTCCACCCCCCATTTCCATTTCCATAGGACCTCTCCAATATATCTAGCCAAAAGTCACACGCTTACTGTTTTATCCCTAGGTGAGGTCTTCTTCGCAACACAACCAGACCAGTTCACCTTACAGGAAGCTCAAGAATACTGTCAGAGCCAGAATGCTACGCTGGCTTCAACTGGTCAACTCTATGCAGCCTGGAAGCTGGGTCTGGATAACTGCCGGGCTGGCTGGCTGGCTGATGGCAGCCTTCGATATCCCATTGTTCACCCACGTCCTGCGTGTGGCGGGGAGAAGCCTGGTGTGAGGACCACCTACCTGTACCCCAATCAGACGGGATTCCCTGATCCTCAGTCAAGGCACCACGCTTTTTGTTTCAGAGGTACTGTCCGGGAGAGTGCTGTTGTGGTCAGGTCATGCTCACAGGACCAGATGGGCTTTGAGCTAGCAGGCTCTTCTTCTGATGTTCTTGTGTCTCTGTGACTCATCACAGAAAGTTTTTCAAGCACTACAGGGCCAGAATAATACCACATAATGTATTCCAGAAGAGAAGAACGGTGTGAATTGTTTTAAAATCGTGAAACTGTAAGCCACTTTGAGTCCAAGCCTGGGGAAAAGGCAGGATTTTAATATTGATAGTGACATTGGTATTGATCTTGTTAATAATTTTATTATTTGTGACTTGCCCATCTGACTGGGTCGCTCCAGCCACTCTGGGTGGCTTCCAGCGTATCCAGAAGTATAATAAAACACCAGACATTAAGAACTTCCTTATACAGTGGTACCTCAGGTTACATATGCTTCAGGTTACATATGGTTCAGGTTACAGACTCCGCTAACCCAGAAATAGTGCTTCAGGTTAAGAACTTTGCTTCAGGATGAGAACAGAAATTGTGCTCCGGTGGCGCAGTGGCCCCATTAGCTAAAGTGGTGCTTCAGGTTAAGAACAGTTTCAGGTTAAGAACAGACCTCCAGAACAAATTAAGTACTTAACCCAAAGTACCACTGTACAGGGTTGCCTTCAGATGTCTTCTAAAGGTTGTATAGTTACATATCTCCTTAACATCTGATGGAAAGGTGTTCCACAGGGAGGGTGCCACTGCCAAGAAGACCCTCTGCCTGGTTCCCTGTAACCTCACTTCTTACAGTGATGGAACCATCAGAAGGCCCTCGGAACTAGATCTCAGTGTCTGGGCTAATGATGAAATAGTAAAAAAATCAAAAAAAAAATCATCAACAACAACAAACAATGTAAGACTTTTAGCTGAGGAAATGAAATATGAGGGTCATGATAGACTAATGAGAATTACATTGAGTTGGCCATAATTCATTCAGAATTGAGGGTATTCCAGAAATTCTCCCCACACTAAACAGGGTAGACATAAGACCTCTGAGACAGACAGGACACTCTTGGTTATTCACTGTGATGTTTTTTGTCTTTCAGCTCAACCATCTCAGTATGAGGGCATAGAAGAAGAGCTCATTGCAGCCCAGCTAGTTCCTGGGGTCGAGGAAGTCCCTTCTGGGGAGGAAACAACTGTGGAAATGGAGTTTGCCACTGATTCTGAAAATCAGACCGAGTGGGGAACAGAAGTATTTCCAACAAACATATCATTGTTGTCTGGTATGTTGGGCTCCATGGTTATAACTTTGCAGCCCTATTCAGAGGTGGCTCTAACCGTGTGCTTCCTATGTGTGGTGGACATAATGATGCATGTAGACCAAGGGTGGGGAACGTATGGTCTCCAGATGTTGCTGGCCTATTAGCCATGCTGACTGGGACTGGTGGGAGTTAATAACATCTGGAAAACAAGTCCTATGAAGAATGGTTGAAGGAACCAGGGCTGTTCAAATACCCAGAGGAGCGTGACACAGAACAGGGCAAAGATTTCTTCCCTGATGCACCAGAGAACAAGACTAGATCCAAAGAACTTAATTTACAGGATGGTAGATTTAGAGAAGGTGCCTGCCTGATATATAATAGGGGGGATCTCCAAAGCGTAGCCACACTTAAAGGCCCAATTCTGACATCGTACAGAACAGACCTGCTGACAGGATGCCTTTTCCTGCAGAATACAGCAATAGGTGTGGCACATAGGGGATGAGACGATCTTTTAGGTATTCTGGGTATCCTGATTGCAGGCTGCATAAGGCTTGGTACTGCAGTACCAACACTCAGAAGTTTGACCAGTGGCTAAATATGGGATGGCATATGGCAGCTAATGCAGCCAATGCAGTTCTTTCCACAGCAATATGGTGATATTCTGCCCTAGTGAACAGCCAGGTCTCTGTCTTTTGCACTAGCTGCAGCTTCCAGGCCAGCCTAAAGGGCAACCCCATATAGAGCACATTGCAGTACAGACAACTCCCCCATTTACGCCTGTTCAATATGTGCATGACCGTGCATACGTGAGTTGCTCCGAACCTGTAAGTGAGCTGAAAACGTCACAAAAATGTTACAAAAAGGGGCAGAATGGGGCAGCTGCAGGCTTTTTCCAGTGGTGTTTCAAATATATACGATTTCACGGACGTGTGCAGTGTCTCAGAATGTGACCCCCACATAAATGGCGGGCTGCCTGTAATCTAATCTGCCAATGATCAGCACATAGTCAACAGTGGAACACAAGGTATCTGCAGTGAAAAGGATCCAGTAGCAGGCAGTGGGTGAGACCTTCTGTTTGAATTCCTAGGCTGCCATAGCTAGTGAGAGATGATAATGGACAATTGATATCGAGAAGAGTTCAAGCTGATGTTTCTCATTATATCATGTGAGAAAATATCATGGTGTCCTTGAACAAGATTTGTTTAATGTTCTCTCTCTCTTTCTTTCTCTCTCCCACACACTTCTTTTTTTAAGTGATTCCATCAGCTGTTGCTCCTATTGATGCCATACCTAGTGAGACAAGTGTAGAAGCTCCAATCACACAAACATCTGCTTCTGGGTGGACATCTGGAGCTCCAGATACAAGTGGAATGTATGAACCTAGTGGAGAACCATCTGGATTTGGAGAAAGCGGGTTTCCTTCTGGAGCCACAGATTTCAGCGGACTCCCTTCTGGTGAGAGTGGCCTGCCATCAGGAGACATAAGTGGCCTGTCTTCTGGTGTTATTGAAGTCAGCATTTTACCTTCTGGAGATGAAGAACTGACATCAGGGATTGGCTCAGGAATCCAAGAGCGAGTACCTGGACTTCAAGAAGGCAAAGGTGTTCCAGAAATCAGTGGGTTGCCTTCTGGATTCAGTGGAGATGGTTCTGGTGTGGACTTTTTCAGTGGCTTACCATCTGGAGAGTATGATTACAGTGGTCTCCCATCTGGATTTCCTACTGTGTCCCTTGTCAATGCCACATTGGTGGAAGTTGTCACCACAGCAAAGGACAAGGAAGTTGAAGGGAAAGGAACAATTGATGTCAGTGGAGATGGAGACTTATCAGGGTTGCCCTCTCCTGGATGGGACATGAGTGGCATAACCAGTGGGTTACCCTCAGGATTTGATGTCAGTGGAATACCTGACATCAGTGGGTTTTCCTCAGGACTTGATATCAGTGGGGAGCTGCCTAGGATACCTGATTTCAGTGGATTACCATCCGGACTTGACGCTAGTGGACAACCATCTGGCCTACCAGATATTAGTGGGTTGTCCTCAGGAATTGACTTCAGTGGGGAACATTTTGGGATACCTGATATAAGTGGCTTCGTGGACTTAAGTGGCCAAGCTTCTGGTACTGATGGAAGTGGCGAGCCTTCAGGGGTTACCTTCATAGATGCCAATTTGTTTGAAGTGACAACTCCTTCAGCTAAAGAAGAAGAAGGCAAAGGATTTGTAGAAATGAGTGGGTTGTCTTCAGGAGTTGAAGATCTATCAGGCACAGTGTCTGGAATGTTAGATGTGAGTGGTCAGCCTTCTGGCCAAATAGACTTCAGTGGGTGGACTTCAGGATCTCATGAAATTAGTGGACTTCCAAGTGGACTAACAGACATTAGTGGTGAAAGTTCTGGTGTTGGTCTCACCAGTGGCTTGTCATCTGGAATTTATGATTACAGCGGGCTCACGTCTGGGTTTCCCACGGTCTCCCTTGTGGATACAACTTTGGTGGAAGTTGTAACACAGCCATCAGTTGCCCAGGAATTTGGAGAAGGGACATCTGGGGTATTAGAAATCAGTGGATTTCCTTCAGGAGATAGGGAGGCATCTGGAGAACCATACGATGTGACAACAGTTAGCGGCTATCCATCAGGAACAACTGACATCAGTGGAACATCATCGGGTGTTCCTTATTTTAGTGGAGAAATTGCTGGTGTCACTGACCTAAGTGGAGAGTCTTCAACCGTAGCTGGTACTAGTGGTGATGCATCTGGAATCCCAGAAATCACCTTAGTAACTTCTGATCTTATAGAAGCTGTGACAAGCCCTGCAGTTTCACAGGAAATGGCTGGAGGAACAGAGGCAACACATCCCCATTTTTCAGAATCAAGTGGGGAAACCTCCACGACTGGTGGAGAGACTTCTGCATATCATGAAAGTACCATAAGCCCACCTGAATATCATGATATTAGTGGTGAAACATCCACATTTCATGAAGGCGGTCTAGAAACCTCTACTATTCATGAAATCAGTGGTGAGATATCCACATTTCATGAACCTGGTGTAGAATCCTCAACTGTTCATGAAACCAGTGGTGAGATATCCAGGTTTCATGAAGCTGGTGTAGAAACTTCCACCATTCATGAAACAAGTGGTGAAGCATCAGCATTACCAGACAGCCACCCTGAAATGCCAACCCTTTATGAAACGGGTAGTGAAACATCAGCATTGCCTGAAAGCCATACAGAAACATCTGGAGTACCTTATTTCAGCGGATTGCCCTCTGAGGCACTTGAAGAAAGAAGCCAGATTCATGGGGATAGTTCTGGGCCACCCCCTGACCCTGCCTCTGACATTCCAGAGAAAGCTCTGCTGCCAGATAGTCTACCAGGAACCAGTGAACCAGATGCGCACGCCAAGCATCTAGAAGAAGGCCAGGTTGAAACAGAGGCCTATACACACAAAATACCAGGTTCGGAAACAGAAGGTGCAGCTTTTCCAGAGGTTCCACCAACACCTCCGACTGCCACTGATGTCCTGCCTGAAGTTTCACCAGAGGTTACAGATGAGACTGAATCTACTACACAAGGTACAGTTAAAAATATGCAGTGGAACCCCCAATAGCCAGCCTTGGTTATTTGACTCTCCAGAATGCTCACACTCCCTGAGGTGGAATCTACACACGTATTTTTAAAAAATTGTGAAAATGCATTTTTAAAAGTGTTTTTAAAAATACATTGAATTTTCCATAAGGCTCACCATCGCCATCTAGTGTCACATTGTATATTGCACTTAAAACACACTTCACATGTTTTACAGTGGTACCTCGGGTTACATACGCTTCAGGTTACACACGCCGCTAACCCAGAAATAGTGCTTCAGGTTAAGAACTTTGCTTCAGGATAAGAACAGAAATCGGGCTCCAGCGGTGCGGCGGCAGCAGGAGGCCCCATTAGCTAAAGTGCTGCTTCAGGTTAAGAACACTTTCAGGTTAAGAACGGACCTCCGGAACGAATTAAGTACTTAACCCGAGGTACCACTGTATTTGCAGCTGTATAGCTGAGCCCTGGGTCTCTCTCAGACCATCCTTTATCATACTGCCTTTCATCAATAGAACCTCATTCCTGTTCATCTAAACCAGTGGTCAGGAATCTATTTCAAACTGAGGGCCACATAGTCTTTCTGGGAATTTCTTTTGGGGGGAGGTGAGAGCATGACTGAAGGCAAATGTGGGTGAAGAAATGAATGTTACTTTTGTCAACAGGAAAGAGGATGTAAACAAAAGTAGAACTAGTTGGCTTCGCCTGTCATTGGTTCTACTGCCACCTACTGTTAGTCTCCCTGCCTTCCACCCTACCAGTTCCAAAGGGCACCAGCCACCATGGGAAGAGATCATTAATGCTTATCTCCTTTCATGGTTGCAGTTATGCCCAAGACATGTGAAGAGAAACCATGTGGTGCTGGAACCTGCCAAGAACAAGATGGAAGCATCACTTGCGTTTGCCCACCTGGGTATATGGGTGATCGCTGTGACATAGGTAAGTCCTAACTTCTTCTTAATATGGAGGTTGAGATGGTAATATGCACCCCACCAAGAAAATGTTATTGCAAAACTGTGTTGCTTGTTGGGCACGTTGGGCAAATATCCCAGGTTCTGAGCACAGAGGCAGAACCAAGAAACAGAAGAACAGATAGGCTACCCACAATGCACCATTGTTACGTTTATTTGTTCAAGCGCACATGGAACTACAGATCTGCTCTAGTGATCCGCAATTCAATAAACAACAAATGCAGCTCAATGCAAACGGATAATAATCCAAAATTGATGGCTGTCAAGCATCAGCCCTGCAACAGCTGATTTACGTAACCACACTGGGAAGAGAGTTTCTCACCCAGTGAAGCATTACAGCCCCAGGAAGGAGGCTTCATTCATAGTTCTAGCTGCAGGGCAAGTGGGGCTGGTCTCACTCAGCCCAAGATGGAACACACACACCTTTGTGAACAGCAGCACTGCTTAAAGTGGTGTCACTGTGCTTTTAAATGTATGGTGTGAATGTGGTTTCTGCCTCTGTCTATTGTCCTGCATACTAACAGTAGCAGGGTTGTGACCGTCCGGGCAGAAAAGTTGCTGAGCTTTTTTGGGCAAAGTGGTAGAGCCTTTTTTTGGGGGGGGGGTTTGCCATACATCTGGATTTTCCAAAACATATCAGCGATTTCTGCCTGGACACTGTTTCCGACTGCCATATTCCGGCTATGTTCAGGAAATTCTGAACATATGGCAACCCTAAACAGTAGTAGCCCTTTACACCCAATACACGAGGGTTTAGAAAAAGAAGAAGAAATTTTCCTTCTGAAGAAGGAAGCTCTTATTCTGAAATGTTTCCCAGCAGTCCAGGACTATTCACTGAAAACCATGTCCTTCTGGAATGTAACTCACAAGGGAATGTCCATCAGACCAGCAAAAGTCATCCTTACCCATTCTGTCTCTAAAGCCAAACCATTAGTAGTCTTGAACATTGTCTACAAAGGAGAGAGGAAGAGGGAGGGGATATCTTTCTATCATCTATCTATCTATCTATCTATCTATCTATCTATCTATCTATCTATCTATCATCTATCTATATCTATCTATCTATCTATCTATCTATCTATCTATCTATCTATCATCTATCTATCTACCTATCTACCTATCTACCTATCATCCATCTATCTATCTATCTATCTATCTATCTATCTATCTAATCTATCTATCATCTCCATCCATCTTGGGTCTCCAGCTGTTTTTGGACTACAACTCCCATCAACCCTAGATAGCAGGACCAATGGTCAAGGATTATGCAATTGTAGTCCAAAAACAGTTGGAGACCCAAGTTTGGGAAACCCATGGCTACTTTAAGTGGTATCATAGTCTGTGATTGACCTACAATTTTGGGGCCTTGAAGCTTGAACTGTTATGGGGTGGGGATGGGGGGCTTCACAACCAGTAACGAGGTCTGAATAACCACTTTTATCTTTTTCAATTGGGCTGTTCCACAACAGATCACCACTTTTAAAAAAAACAAAACAGTCTCAGATTTTGATTAAAATCGCTGTACATGTCAAAATTATCTCACATGTCAAAGTCACTGGTGTGAATAAAAATTTCCTATCTCTTTAGTTTTCTAATTCCTGCAACATACCACCTATAGAACTTCTGTGCTACTGACGCTCAAACTTTGGGATTGGGACACAACAAAAAATTACTCAATTTGAATTGTGTGACTCAAATTGGATGTACTAGCCCCTCTCCCACCCCCACCCCCTCCCAAAAAAGCAGCATAGACTAAAGTCGTTTCTGGGGGCCCTCCCGGGCCCTGAAGCTTAATCTTCTTTAGTTTTATAGTAGATCCACCCTGATCATAGTGCTTTGAATGTATGGTCTGCATGTGGTCTCCAAAGGAGGTACTTCTTCACACAGTGAATAGTTAAACTATCCAATTTGCCACCATGAGATGGATCAATGGCCTCAACTTAGCTGGCTTTGAAAGGGGATGAGTCAAATTCATGGAGGATAAGACTATCAATGCTTACCACCAAGATACCTCTCTCCATGTGGAACAATCCGGATGCTACAATCTTCATCTGAGGCCCTTCTCCATCTGCCCCCGCCACAGGAGATCCAAAGGGTGGCAACACAAAAACGGGCCTTTTCAGTGGTGGCTTCCCACTTGTAGAAACACTGTCCTCAGGGAGGCTCTCCAGGCATCTTTTATATATTTCTAAACACCTGGCAAAATTTTGCCTTTTTACAGAGGCTTTTGGCCCTTAATCTGAAGGGTTTTTGAGTATTTATGGCCTCTTTCAGTGTGGCAGGATCTGTAAGATCTTTGTATACAGGTGGAGTTCTTTCATTTCTTTTATTGATTGTGTTTGTTGGAATCAGTTTGTTGGAATCAGTTTCAGTATTTCTGTTGTATCTGTAAGTTGCTTTGAGTCGTTTCCATCATCATGGCTATGTGCTACATAGGGGCACAGGTGGCGCTGTGGTCTAAACCACTGAGCCTCTTGGGCTTGCCAATCAGAAGGTTGGCAGTTCAAATCCCTGTGATGGAGTGAGCTCCCGTTGCTCTGTCCCAGCTTCTGCCAACCTAGCAGTTCAAAAGCACGGTAGTGCAAGTAGATAAATAGATACTGCTGTGGCGGGAAGGTAAACGCCATTTCCATGCGCTCTGGTTTCCGTCACGGTGTCCCGTTGCACCAGAAGCAGTTTAGTCATACTGGCCACATGATCTGGAAAGCTGTCTGTGGACAAACACAGGCTCCCTCGGCCTGAAAGCAGATGAGCGCCGCAACCCTATAGTCGCCTTTGACTGGACTTAACCGTCCAGGGGTCCTTTACCTTTACCTTTTGCTACACCTACAAGGTCTGGGGTGATATGCCTCCGAACACTAGTTTATGAGACTCACAAGTGAGGAAGAGTATTATTGTACTTAGGTCCTGTTTGTGGGCTCCCTGTAGGCACCCAGTTGGCCACCTTGGGAAGAGGATGTCCAACTAGATGGGCCTTTGGTCTTACCCAGGAAAAACTCTTCTTATGTTCTTACAGCGCCATCTACTGTTGCTCCTCCTTGCCTTTGCCATCACCTGCTTTCTTGCCAGGTAAAAAGCCAGGAAGTAGGTAGGCTGCGGCAGCAGCAGCAGCTATTGCCAGTCCCTTGCTTATATCTTCTGGGCCAGAGGAAGAGATAAAGCAAGCAAGCAAGAGACAGAGGTGAAAAAGCAGGTTCAGGGAATTTGCAGCAGTCACACCTTTCTAGGGTGTGGAGCTCAGCAAATGCTGAACCGTGCTGACTCCCAGTGCTGACCTGTTCTCTGCTGGTAGGTCTTTTTAGAGTAAGCACTTTACATCACTATACCTTGGAGGGTTTTTCTGTATAAGAGAAGAAGAGGCAAAATAAAGTTTCTCAGGAAAGTGCTATAGAGCCACATTCTCTGACAGCTAGGGATGGGTGAATCTGTCAATTACATATTCTCTCAGTATCTCATTTTTTCCAGTCTTAAGTTCTCCACATTTCCACATCAGTTTGCAATTTTAAGAAAAAAAGGTTCCCATGAAAATTCATCACCACTTTGCTGCAAATTCACCCTAATATAAAAAAAATTGTATGCAAATTTTGCCGGATGTACACATTTCCTAATATTTATATTTCCCCTAATGCTGTGCATTTTTTATGTTACTTTTCACTCATATGTGCATTTTTGTGCACACTTTACGTGACCATGTGCATTTTTGTACACATTACTTGGCTGGAGAACTGCATGGCAAAATTCGGAGAAGTGCAATCTTCAAAGATCACTGTGTCTCAGTTCTCATATTGTTTTGGACAGTGCGAGTTAGGTAGATTTGCCTTTAAATGTGAACTGAATCATTCCCCCCCCCCCGCCGCCCCCTTCCTATGTTTTTCTAAGATTATAGAAACTTCTTGCAAACAAACCAAACTAAATGAAGACTGGATATAATCTCACCTCTGTGTAACCTTTGCACAAGCAAATCAATAAATAGTTCATCAGCTGGAGCCCTAATTCCCTGACAGCCAGTCTATGCATACTTCAGAATCCCATGGTGAAGTTTTTTCAGATGGGACCAGAAATGGCATGATTGCCTGTTCACTGTCAAAGAAAAGGGGAGAAAACCTCCATAAGTTACTTGTGCAAAAGCCGTTTTTTGTTTTGTTAGCAGATACAAGTGAGAATGGAGATGTGGCTGTGGGGTGCAGAGAAATTTTTTATTCAAGTTTAGATGGGTTTTCTATAATGTACAGGCCTTTTTAATGCTGTTAATTTCCTATGCTGTTCCTTTATTTTCTTTAGCTCATCCACACTTCCTTTTGTGCTGCGATTTCCAGGAAGAGGTCCATACCTTTCATGTCTGAGCATTTGTTTGTTTGCTTTGGTCTCAGCGCTTTCCCCAGGAAAACCTGTGTTTCACCACTGAATCGGAGAAAACAACAATCTGCAGAAAACCTGGTTGCTGTTTCCTCCAATTCAGCAGTAAACATGGGGAAAACACACTGAGGCAAAAAAGCAAAAAACAAAGCTTGGATATGGATCTTTAAAGCCCCAACCTGTGCCTAGAAATGCAACACAAAAGGAAGTCTGGATGAATCCAAAGTTGGAAATAAGGATGTGGCTGGTTATCTTCTCTTATCGCTTGGCTTGTGAAATGAATGTGTGATGACGACCAATGTCTAAGGCTCTGGATAAAGCTGAAACAACTAGAAGCAGACAAAGGCCCCCTCTAGGCTGTCAGTATTTTGCGGGAGAAACTCAAGAGCAAACTGGGAAATTTAGGCGTGCGCAATTAAAGTGGGATGCAGGTGGCGCTGTGGGTTAAACCACAGAGCCTAGGACTTGCTGATCAGAAGGTTGGCGGTTCGAATCCCTGCGACAGGTGAGCTCCCGTTGCTCCATCCCTGCTCCTGCCCACCTAGCAGTTTGAAAGCACGTCAAAGTGCAAGTAGATAAATAGGTACCGCTCCAGCGGGAAGGTAAACGGCGTTTCCGTGCACTGCTCTGGTTCGCCAGAAGCGGTTTAGTCATGCTGTACGCCAGCTCCCTCGGCCAATAAAGCGAGATGAGCGCCGCAACCCCAGAGTCGGTCACGACTGGACCTAATGGTCAGGGGTCCCTTTACCTTTAATTAAAGTGGATTGAAGCCTACTGCTGCCCTGGGGCAACAGATCCACGTTAAAAAAAGAAAAAGAAACAGACTTTTTGCAGTTGTGGAATGAATGGCTGACTAGTGGGAAGATGCATAAACACACCACGATCAAATCTGGATGAATGGCCAGTACAGAAGAGTGGCTCAGGAACAAGGTGCTGCTGAGAACATGCTCAGAGACCAAGAACTTGCTTTCAGTACCAGAACTGGAGTTGCTGCATGGATCCATTCACACATACACCTACTTCTGTTTGCTCCCAAACTTTCTCGATTTCAGCAGACAAATTTTGGAAAGGAGTTGAAAGGCAAGTTACCCAGAGATGTCCCAGTAGATTCTGATTTGCCTCCCGCCCTCTCCTGGTTTAGACATGCTTCCTTTCTGCTGGAGAACTCTTTCATCAGCTCATAGAATCATAAAATTGTAGAACTGGAAGAGACTATGAGGGTCACCTAGTCCAACCCCCTACAAAGCAGGAATCTTTTGCCCAATTCAGGGCTCAAACCCACGACCCAGAGATTGTCTCAGGCTCTAACGAATGATAGCTAGGTGACCAGAGGGGTGACAAAGCCACAAGCGGAGATGTCCAAATGAAGCAGACAACAGAAAGTCATGGCAATGATTGATTTTGCAGGGTGTGCTAAAAAGACTTGGAAAAACTGGGGCTCCTTTTCATTGATAAATAACTTGTAACACCAAGACCTATAGAGCTCATCAGCTTGGGGGGGGGCAAAGCTAAGATTGTGGGTTTTTTCTGCTCTAGGTGAATTAAGATCTTGCCTCATGCCATTGCACGTTGAGGAACATAACAATATCATATCATCATCATTATCATTGTCATTTACCTGTCCTTCACCTTAAGGTCCCCAGGGTTACAACAATTAAAAAAAAATTAAAAACAGTTTAAAACAACTTGCAGACACGGAAACATGGTGGGTCTTAACAAAACAAACCTTAAGTGTCAACAGGCAGGGTAAAGAGGGGCACTTTCAACATTTGCTGTATAACGAAGGTGACAGAGAAACCTCTCTTCCTGTCCTTTAGGAATGTTACATAATCACATTGCCCTCCTCTGAATTTCCAGCATTTGTTATATAAAATAAAAAGTCTCTGGAATTAGAGGGTTGTTGTTTTTTTACTTGTGGGCCTAAAGGAGAAAAACGTCAGTGGCTCACTAATACAATTAAATAACTTTGCAAACATATGAAGCTCCCTTTCCTGACTTCTGTCCAAAGGTTCGCTTTTCCATTTAGGTCCTCTCATCACAAAAATGCCCCACAATTTTCTTTTATCCTCTCTCCTTTATGAGCATGTCTATCTCCTGGGTAGCCCATCACAATCTTATGCATCTTGAGTGCCTCCCCATCAAAGTACTAAGCTGCCTTCCTTTCTCCCAAATGCAAGCAGTCGTTTGCCTCTATGGTTGATCTGTCCTCCCTGCTGGTAACCAAACGGGAAGCCCTCCTATCACATCCTAGCCTGCCCTTCCCATTCCCTGTTCCTCTTCTGCTTCTTTGGCGGTGACCGTTCTAAGGCGAAAGCTGGTGCCCGCTTCCGAGTTTTGCCCATTGCCTCTCCAAACCATCCATTCATTCATTCTTCCTGCCCTGCCCTGCAAGACAAGCAAGGAAAGCCTTTCTCCTGCTGACGGACCTGTTTCCAGAGCCTGAGTCCTAATGGCAGCCCTTGATTTCTTGCAGACATTGATGAGTGCCACTCCAGCCCCTGTCTGAATGGAGCTACCTGCGTCGATGGCATCCACACTTTCAAATGCTTATGCCTTCCCAGCTACGGAGGGGACCTCTGTGACGTTGGTACGCTCTGCCTGCCTGGCTTCAGCTAACCGTACTAACAGCATCCCTTCTCTCTCCCCTGGGTTGGGAGGTGTGGGGAGACATCCTCTCTGTCACACACACACACACACACACACCCATCCCATCCTCATCTAACTCTTTAATAACTGTAATAAAAAACCCCAGTAGAAACTGCAACAGAACATTGCAGTATGGAGTGCTGCTGATGTTCAGGACTCCAGCCTCCCCACCTCCACTCAGTGTTTTCTCATTGCCCTGCCAAATATGTAATCTGCATACCATGATCACTGAGCATGCTCAGACCTCTCTGAGCTAGCCTGGGATTCCCTCCCACTAGAGGTTTTTTTCACCGATTTTGTTTGCTCATATGTCTGCAAACTTTGGCGTTTTCCCTTAAGCCTGCTTATGGATCTCTCTTGTGAGCTCATGCTGGTGTCACTTTTCGCTACGTACATAATCGACAGCACCTGAAACTTGCATTCATTTTTCATTTTTGCCTCAAGGAAATCTGGTTTCTCTGATTACCAGCCTATATTTATCTTGTGTGTGGCAAGGAATTTCCATAGGTGGTTTCTGTCTTTCCCTTTTTTATAACTCTTAAGACTCCTGGGTATTCTCTTGGTCACACTTAGAAACCGAAGGAAGCCTTCGCTGGGCAGTTTCCAACATTCTTTCTCTTGGTCACATTCTTAAATGCCCAAGCTTACGTCACACTTCCAGCATCGTTCCAAAAACACAGGGTGGGATTATGGAGGTCTGACTCAAACCTACTGGACCCTACTGAAATGTGTAGAAGAAAGAAAAGGAGGCTGAAATCTGAGGTGCAATTGGGGAAAGGTCAAATATGTTGCCTTACCTCTGCAACTTTAACCCCCTTAGTTGTGTGTCTAAATGTATCCCTTCACTTTCTTCCTATGAATGAGTGGATTCACTTCTGGAGGGCAGAAGTGGAGGGAGTGCTACATTAAGGGAGACGGCCCTACCATTAGGCTGAGTGAGATAACTGCTTCAGGAGACAAATGCTATTTGTGGCAGTAGCAGTAGACCGTTTGTCCTTCATCCTTCTGTTGGTTGACAAAACTGTATGTGGCACAAGGGCCCGCTGTGCATCCCCCTAACTAGCCTTCAGCATTACCTTTTTTTGGGTGGGGGGGCACTTCCAGACCATCACTTTTCAGATGGAATTCAATCACATATCAGCAAATTAGGTAAAGGGACCCCTGACCTACTCTGGGGTTGCAGCACTCATCTCGCTTTATTGGCCGAGGGAGCCGGCGTACAGCTTCTGGGTCATGTGGCCAGCATGACTAAGCTGCTTCTGGCAAACCAGAGCAGCGCACGGAAACGCTGTTTACCTTCTCGCCAGAGTGGTACCTATTTATCTACTTGCACTTTGGCGTGCTTTCAAACTGCTAGGTTGGCAGGAGCAGGGACCGAGCAACGGGAGCTCACCCCGTCGCGGGGATTCGAACCACCGACCTTCTGATCGGCAAGCCCTAGGCTCTGTGGTTTAACCCACAGCACCACCCGTGTCCCAGCAAATCATGGTTGCAAAATTATGTTTGAGTGGGTGGTCTTGTGCAACAAACTCGCTTCCCAAAATGACTGCATTCTTGGGGATGGGGAAGTGCCCTGGGATGATATTTGCTTTGATGCAGCCACATCCAACCACCCCACAAATGAATCAGGATGAATGCTCCTTAAACAGGCAACCCCATCTAGCCTCCTTGCAAGCAAAGCAGGGTGAATGCCCAGTAAATGGGTCACCTGGAAGCTCCCTCAAACAAAGCCAACCAGTTTTCTCTACTGTTTTCATAATGGTATAAATTCTGGTTATTCCTACCATCACCACCACCCCAGTTTGTTTATAAGTTCCATACTTTAGCTTTTCCTCATGGGGAATACTCCAGCAGCAAGGAAAACATGATACCAGTCCATGTGCCAACACGGATGAGTTTCTTGTTGGGGAGAAAGAAGGAATATTTCTTTTCAAGCTGGGCTATGGAACTTCCCTTAGGAGCCTCAAGTAAAAGCATCCATCCCATCTTCTCACTAATAGGCAGGCAGGATGAATTCACATCTGATGCCTCCTACATCTTTCTTCCTCCCACCCACATTACTTGCAGAACAAGCTGAGAGCAACAAACAACCAGGCAGGGTTTTTGCCTGTTTGCCTTGGCAAACAGGGCCAGAAAAGAAATGGACTGTGTACAACAAGGAGGGAGATGCTTTCTTAACCCAAGGGCCACATTTCCTTCTGGGAAATCTTCTGAGGGGCCGTGTGGAAGTTGTGGGTGGGACCAGGGACAAAAGTGGGAGGAACAATGAATATAAATATTACCTTTGTACATTCAGGTTAGCACATTCAGTATCTTCCTTCCAGGCAAACAAGAAATATTAGGAGAGTTCGAGAACATGTCAGGCAACTCTGGGGTTGCGGCGCTCATCTCGCTTTATTGGCCAAGGGAGCCGGCGTACATGTGGCCAGCATGACTAAGCCGCTTCTGGCGAACCAGAGCAGTGCACGGAAACGCCATTTACCTTCCTGCTGGAGCGGTATCTATTTATCTACTTGCACTTTGACGTGCTTTCAAACTGCTAGGTTGGCAGGAGCAGGGACTGAGCAACGGGAGCTCACCCCGTTGCAGGGATTCAAACCACCAACCTTCTGATCAGCAAGCCCTAGGCTCTGTGGTTTAGACTACATAATATACTGATTATGGTATGTGGTTTAGGCCAGCATTATCTACTGAGATCTACCTTCTGATCAGCAAGCCCTAGACTCTGTGGTTTAGACCACAAAATCTACTGATTATGTGGTTTAGACCAGCATAATCTACTGAGGAGGGTCCTACTTCTTACAATATGCTCCATGGATTTCCACTGCCCTGTTAGGCATATTTAAATCAGCCTAAAGTTCTGCTCCAGCTCACTATGTCCTAGATGCCATCTGCACCAGACATTTAAAGCAGTATCATATCACCTTAAACAGTCATGGCTTCCACCAAACAACCCTGGGGACTGCAGTGGATTAAGGGTCATGAAAGCAGGTTCACCTACCTTAACCCAGTTTCTAGTATTACAAAACAGAGAAAAAGCTATCTCCATTGGTGTTCTACATATAATTCGTAATTTTGTAATTTCCCCCTTTCTTAATCATCATTTTTCTAATCTACAAAAAAGCCCCTAACACTTTTGCTTTCCTCATAGTGAACATCCTCCAACTTTTGATCATCCGAGTGATCCAACACAACACAAAACATATTTACGTTTATAACAAAGCTAGATATGTATTATCTGTTGACCACAGCTCCAAGCCATGGCTGTTTAAAGTGGTATTGCAGTGCTTTAAACTTATGGTGTGAATCTGGCCCCAATTATTATTTTTTTAGGGCCTAACACAGTCTTGCAGCGATTATTTACCTGCTCACAATTTATCTCAGAAAACTTCCCTGCTCCCCTCAAGCTCAGCTTCTTGGAATACAAGTGACTGACCATGTTGCCCTGTCTCCATTTTGGCAGTCTTAAAAGGCTCTTCCATTCTCCCCTTGTCTCTTTGGCACACTGTGGTGTCCTTTAATGGGCTTTCGAAATTTTGCTCAGCTCTGTAGGGAGCCACCTCGAAGGGAAGTCAATAACTCTTCTTGTCTGAGAGGACAACTGTGCATCACAGCAAAGTGCGACATAGGCGTCTACACGGCGGGCAGAAGGCATTTTCTTCTCTGAGGTGGAGCAGCAAATGGGCTCCCCTTCCAAGTCAACATACATAATACCCAAAGCTGGTCAAGTTATTTTGGCACCTAAGCAGAAGAGAGAGAAAATCCCACAAGCGCCTCTCTTCCCTGCCTGGCAGTGAAAATGCAACAATAATAAATTAAATAGCTAACCTTTTGCTGTCCTTCCACGATGCCCAAAATCAGCTGCCTGAGGGTAACTGGCTCGTTCTGCCTATGTAGCCAGAAATTGCAGTTGCTTTCAGGAGTGAAACCCTGCTCAGAGATTTGCATGGGGCTGCCATTTTGTCATTAGGCAAAGTTCAAGGTTTTTGCTATCTGCATATAAAGCGCTTAACAGTTTGGGACTAGTTTGTTTGTTTCTTTTATTATTTATTTGATTTACAGTGGTACCTCGGGTTACATACGCTTCAGGTTACATCACTCTGCTAACCCAGAAATAGTGCTTCAGGTTAAGAACTTTGCTTCAGGATAAGAACAGAAATCGGGCTCCGGCGGCATGGCAGCAGCAGGAGGCCCCATTAGCTAAAGTGGTGCTTCAGGTTAAGAACAGTTTTCAGGTTAAGAACGGACCTCTGGAATGAATTAAGTACTTAACCCGAGGTACCACTGTATTGAATTTATATACCACCCTATACCCAGGGGTCTCACAGAATAAAATCAAGGGGATTACCTTATTCCAAATACACTCACTTGACTCCTTTGATCTGCAGAACTGGCACTATTAGAGATGCCACATAATACTTGTTCCACACTTGTGAAGTCTTTTAGTATAGCAGCACCTAAACTTCGGAACTCCCTGCATATTGACATCAGTCAGGCTCATTTGCCATAACCTTTTCAGACCTTGTTGAAAACGGACCATTCTTCAGGCAAGCCTACCTAGAAACATAGAAGCTGCTACGTGTTGTGATCATCTTCTATTTTTAGTTTAGCTGTTTATTTTAATTTTAGCTTAGTTTAACTGTTTATTTTAATTATTTTTTATTTTTTAATATTTTTTTAATACATGATTTTTAACATTGTCGTTCTTTGACCATTTTGGCTTTGTTCTGTTTCTGAAAAACTACTTAGAGGTTCTATTTCCAATGAAGTGATACATAATTTTGTTAAATAAATAAATATGTGTGCACATATTTTTAAAGCATATGCAGTTATTTGATATATGCGTGTACGTATTTAAAAGCATTTCTAAGCCACTTAATATCTGAAAATCCCTAAGTGGTATACGAAAATAACATAAAAGCTACAAATCAGCATTATTGTTTTAAAAGAAACAGGTAAAAGCAGATACAGGTAAAATCAGAAATCTAGTAAGAGCAGGATCCAATCTTATGAGTCAAAAGGATGCATCTTTTCAAGATACCTGAAGCAACTGCTGGACGATGCTTCTTGTATGTCAGAGAGAAGACCATTCCACAGTGGCAAAAAATGCTTGTTTTCAGCTCCTTCCCCTGTGATATTCTGTAGGGTATGATGCCATGAGTAATATTATACATCTCTACAAGGGCAGGCAGTATTTCTTCTTCTTTCTTCTTCTTCTTCTTCTTCTTCTTCTTCTTCTTCTTCTTCTTCTTCTTCTTCTTCTTCTAGTTTTTATTTACACTTTTCAAGTTCATACATTTCATTAGTTTTACAATCTATTTAACATTTCAGAGTTTGACTTCCTTCCCCCTCTTTCTGCGGTTCCTTAAATTTATTTATTAATATCTTCTGCATCTCCAAATTCATTTCATTTGCTCATTTAATTATCTACTTTAAATATATATACTCTTATGAAACTGCAGGTTATTACAATAATCCTGCCAATGTTTCTATCTGTTTGCAATTTATCTGTAAATATTCAATAAACCATTTCCATTCTTTTATAAAAAGTTTGTTATGATTTCTTCTTCTTCTTCCAGTAAGTTTCGCCATTTCTGCATATTCCATAAGTTTCTGTATCCATTCTTCCTTTGCTGGGACTTCTGCTTCTTTCCACTTTTGGGCGAGTAGCATTCTTTCCGCTGTAAATAAATTTCTGTACAATTTAGGTAGTTCTGTCCCTATAATTCCTGAAAAGAAAAGCTTCTGGGTTTTTTTTACAAATGTTATTTTGAAAATCCTTTTCAATTCATTGTATATCATTTCCCAGTAAGGTGTAACCTTACTACAAGACCACCACATATGTTAAAAAGAACCTTCTTTCTCTTTATATTTCCAACACTTGTTTGATTTACTGTATTTTTCACTCCATAAGACGCACCAGACCATAAGGCGCACCTAGGTTTGGGAGGAGGAAAACAAGAAAAAAATATTCTGAATCCCAGAAGCCAGAACAGCAAGAGGGATCTGGCTTCTGGGATACCGTGTGGCTGTTCTGGCTTCTGGGATAACTGTGCCAAGCCTCTTCAGGGCAGCGGGATGAAGGCTCCCGCTGCCCGAAAAGGCTGTGCGCGGCTAAGGCAGAAGCCAGGACAGGCGCGTCGCTGAAGGGGTGCTGCACAGCTCTCCCTCTCTGCGCAGCGCCATTCGCTCCATAAGACGCATCCACATTTCCCCTTACCTTTTAGGAGGGAAAAGGTGTGTCTTGTGGAGTGAAAAATACGGTAGATTTATACATTTTGTCACTTTACTCGGTGTTAGATACCGACAATACATCATTTTCATATAATTCCCTCTTAAACTATAACATGCTGTAAATTTTATATCCATATAGGGCAGGCATTATTTCAGGTAACCTGGTCCTGAATTGTTCAAGAACCTTTGCTTCTTGTTCACATGCATTCCCTCTTATTTCTCTCCAGATCTGGCAGAATGTGAAGCAGGCTGGACCAAATTCCAAGGCAACTGTTACAAGCACTTTGAAGAAAAGCACACGTGGGTGGATGCTGAGAACCTCTGCCGAGACCATCAGTCTCACCTGAGCAGTATCATCACTCCCGAAGAGCAGGAGTTTGTGAACAGTAAGTGTGGTGATTTGAGGAGTATGCAGGGCCAGAGATCCAGGTTGCACTTTCCAAACAGGTGGCATTGGCTGAACAAGAAACTACAAATTCCTATTGAGTTTAGAAGTAGAATCAAAACGTTGCAATTTGCAGTCATCCCAGATTGGTTGTGGAGGAGTTGTGGGGTGGTGGTGTAGCCAATTAATGCATTAGTGGTAGAATTATACTGGGCCACCCATCCATCATTCCATTTTATTTGTCATTTTATGATGCTTCCCCAGTGTTGTCATATTATTGCGGGTGGCGCTGTGGTCTAGACCACTCAGTCTCCTGGGCTTGCTGATCGGAAGGTCGGCAGGTTCGAATCCCCGTGATGGGGTGAGCTCCCGTTGCTCTGTCCCAGCTCCTGCCAATCTAGCAGTTTGAAAGCATGCCAGGGCAAGTAGATAAATAGGTACCACTGTGGCAGGAAGGTAAATGGCATTCCCGTGCGGTCTGGTTTCCATGACGGTGTGCCGTTGTGCCAGAAGTCGTTTAGTCCTGCTGGCCACATGACCCGGAAAGCTGTCTGTGGACAAACGCCAGCACCCTCGGCCTGAAAGAGAGATGAGTGCCACAGCCCCATAGTCGCCTTTGACTGGACTTAACTGTCCAGGGGTCCTTTACCTTTTTACCTTACCTGTCTGGAAGAGCACCCAGGCACAACAAAAGCAGAGCAAAAGGAAAGGGTGGAACATTTGTGGTGTAAAAATTTGCAGGATTTCAGCAGGAAGTTACAGGCTAACTTTCTAATCTTTATGCTCTCTCTGTCTCTCCTTTCTAGACAACGCTCAAGACTACCAGTGGATTGGCCTTAGTGACAGAGCAGTTGAGGATGACTTCCGCTGGTCTGATGGACACTCCCTTGTGAGTTACATTCCAGAAGGACATGGTTTTCAGTGAATGATCCTGGGCTGCTGGGAAACATTTCAGCATAAGAGCTTCCTTCCTCACAAGGAAATACAATTCTTGGCTTTATTTATTTTTGCCCCTTGTGCCCAAGAGTGAAAATGGCTTCTTTGTTTAGTGGGAAAAGACAAGAGACAGAGGCAACTTTATCACAACACATTTAAAGCACTCTGATACCACTTTAAACAGTCATGGCTTCCCCAACTGGAAATTGTAGTTTAAGGGATTCTGACAGTTGTTAGGAGACCTCTGTTCTCCTCGCTGAGCTCCAATTCCCGGAGTTCTCTGCAGAGAAAGATTGGTTGTTAAACCACTCTGGGAACTGGAGCTCTGTGAGGGGAATAGAAGTCTCCTATCAACAAACTACAGCTCCCAGAATTCTTTGGGGGAAGTCCTGACTGTTTGAAGTGGTATCATAGTGCTTTAGATACATGGTGTGCTTGTGACCAGAGTTAGGGCTGGCTGCAGGTTTGATTGGGGCTTTGACCACTTGCCCTTCAGAGCTGCCAAGTGTCCCATAAGGAGTTGGGCATATACAGGTATAAGCCAGGCATAGGCAACCTCAGCCCTCCAGATGTTTTGGGACTACAATTACCATCATCCCTGACCACTGGTCCTGTTAGCTAGGGATCGTGGGAGTTGTAGTCCCAAAACATCTGGAGAGCCAAGGTTGCCTATGCCTGCAATAAGTGGTAGTGGCTGGTGCTCATTGTGACTAGTAGGGTGGAAGGCAGGGAGGCCACCAGTAAGTGGAGCTAGAGCCAACAAGAGGCAGCGCTAGAGACAATAGAAGGTGCAGCAACTAATCTTCATTTTGTCCCCTTCCCTTCTACAAGGAGCAAAATTAAAACTAAGGGTAAGGAACCTGGCAGGCAGTGCCAGCCTCTGGAATGGTAATAAGAAGGCAGGCAGGTGGGGCTGGCTAAAGCCAGACAGAGGTTGGTGTAACAATGCCCCATTTGCCCGGCTGGGCCAGATTCCACTGCCTGCAGAGCAAGTTACAACTTTGCAGGAGTGGGTTGTGAATTTAGAGCAGAAAAGTCTGGGGACAATAAGCCCCTCACTTTTCAGGATTATGGTCCCACCCTCACTTGCGGGACCCTGCAAAAACAAAAAAACCACGAGTGATCTGATGGCCATTTTCTCCACCATTGGGTCTTATTAGACCCTAAGGAAAAGCCTCCCCAACTGTCTTCGCTGTTTAAGTTCCAATACCAGGTTCATTCTCATCTCTCGCAGCAATACGAGAACTGGCGGCCCAACCAACCCGATAATTTCTTTGCCAAAGGAGAAGATTGTGTTGTAATGATCTGGCATGAGAAGGGAGAGTGGAACGACGTCCCCTGCAACTACCATCTCCCGTTCACGTGCAAGAAAGGAACAGGTAAGGCTGGATTCCTGGCAGCGAGAGCTCTATGGGACAAGGAAGGGCGGCATAGCAACCCTCCCAAGGGCATTTGTACAGGTGTGGAGAAACCTTTGGCCATCCAGAGGTTGCTGAACTCCAATTTCCAACAGTTCCCCAGCAAACATGGCCAATGACCAAGGGTGACGGGAGTTGTAATTCCACAACATCTAGGGAGCCAAAGGTTCGCCGCACCTGCAGTCATGTGTGTGACTTGGGAGGTCTGCAAGTCTACCGTGTGAAAGAATTTAGTAATTAAATCAGGTTATGGGAAACGTGTTTCCAACCCCAGATGCAATTAGATTTCAGTTTCCACCAGCCCCTTTGCACACACATTTCCCCTTGCTTTTTAGGAGGGGAAAGGTGCATCTTATAGAGCGAAAAATACGGTAAATTTTCCTCATAGGGTCAGTGACTCACACAAGAGAAGTCGGAGGGCAGGAAACGTATTGTGCGATTGGACCATTCAGTCCCTCAAATGGCAGAAATCTGCCAGGCCTTTCTTTTCTTGGATAAAGCTGCTCTAGGTGGAAGTGACCTACTCAGAGTTAAAGCGTGTTTTGTGTTGGAGAACTGCATTGCAAAATTCATAGGTGTGTGAATTTCAAAGTTCGGCTGAGTTCCACTTTGCACGTTGTTTCAGGAAGTGAAAATTAAGTAGTTTACCTTTAAATGTGGCCTGAATCAGATTCCCCCCACTTCTCTAGATGCTAGTTAACCAGTTGTTTATAGCTCTAATCCTGCCTGCCACATTAAAAAAAAAAGATGGCCCTCTGCAGCCACTAAGCCTGGCTCATGGACCAGGCAACAGAAGGCTCTTAGCAACCTTGGCGTCTGAAGGTCTCATAGACCAAACAGCGGACAAAGGCTTTAGTATGGAATCCCCATTCCTGCATGGAACCAAAAGTCAGAGCAAGGATAAATTTTCAGAGAATCTGCTCCTGAGCCCAATAAGTGCAGAGAACACCAACGGCATTTTAAGGACGGGACCAGCATCTCATACTTGCAAATCCCCCAAGATCTCTGTTTCTAACCTAGTTCCCCAACCCCATTTTTTTCCTGAACCAAACTTCAACGTTTGCTTCACTCTTAACCTTCAAAAAGATGTGCTTTCAGGTTGTGTAAGCAGAAGAACTCTCTGCACTCAGAACATCCTCCTGCACTGCTACGTGAGCAGGGATGGAGGAGGAGCTCAATTCTGTGTGCCTCTAAATGAGAATTTACCAAATTTGCAGTTTTCAAAAGAACGTGGGAGCCAAAGGGCAGCCATCCTTTGAAATTTGCACTTACTGTACCTGAATTCTGCAATTTACTTCTCCAGCCAAGTAATGTGCATAAATATATGCACACATATATTTGTGAAAAGGACATACAAAAGCGTGTTAAATTAGGGGGAAATTGTTTTGCAGAAATGTGTAAGCTATTTGTATGCAAGATTGCATACAAAATTGTGTGTGTGTGTGTGTGTGTGTGTGTGTGTGTATTAGAAGAAATTTGCACTAGAATGTGCATAAATTTACATTAGGGCTGTGAAAAACGGACACAATTAAATGTGGAGAAACTGAACTTAAAACTGGAAAAATGAGAAAAACAAGTGACTGTTCTGTATATGACTCCTGACTGTAAGGAGACAGGTACTGAGTGGCCTCAACAGACGTCCTTCTCTGAACTCAGGTGACTGATTCTGCTGCATATCTGTATCAAGAGTGTCTGAATGTTACAATCACACCAATGGAGAGGCAGAGCAAAATTAGACAATCAAATTGGATGCTGATGGTGTAAAGTGAAAACCAGAGCAGTAAATCATACAGAGACACAGCAGGCATCCTATCAACCGGTTAGCAATCTGGTGTCACACATTAATATTAAAAGTTCTTGTGATGATAGAAGAATAAGGTTAGGAGCATCACACCAGCCACTGAGCTGCTTTGTGCTGAAAGCAACTTTGAAGGCTTTCTTTTCCTCCACCAGTTTCTTGTGGAGACCCACCCGTGGTTGAGAACGCCAGGCACTTCGGAAAGAAGAAAGACCGCTACGAGATCAACTCCATGGTGCGGTACCAGTGCAATCAGGGCTACATTCAGCGCCATCTGCCCACCATCCGGTGTCAACCCAACGGGCACTGGGAAGAGCCACGGATATCCTGTATTGATCGTACGTAGTGGTCTATCTTATTTGTACTGTGAACCAATATCCTGATTCGGTATAAGACAGCTTCCTGTGTTTCTGTGTAACCTCCATGCAAGTTTTGTGCGAATGTATCACCACAAATGTTCAATAAATAGTCTCAAAACTCCCAGGGTTTGGAAGAGTTTATCCAGCTCCCATTTGAGTTAGACAGATGGCGTGTGTATGCAGTCCATCGACCTTTGCCAGTGAGTAGTTGACCCACACTTTCCAGGGGAAATTTCCCATCGCTTTTCTCATTGGACTTTTTGTGGTTATCAAAGCGATGAGATAATTGCACTAGAAAGATGTAGGGTGATGACCAAATTTTGTGCAAATGCACAGCTATACTGGAAAGGCCTTCATGAATGCAGTGCCTACACCGGACCAGAATGCTCTCTGGTACACCAAAGTATTATTCCCTAGCTTCTTCTTCCTAATTAGAAATTATCAGACAGTTCACACCCACAGCAAGGGAGAGGCTGGCTGAAGCTTCCTCGTGTGTGACAATGATGCTCTTAGTTAAAGCTCAGTCTGACAAGGACTCCAGGTCTATCCCTCTCCCAGGCAGAGCTGGCTCACAAGGGCTAGCTGGATATTCAGCTTGGGGGACACTTCATTCCATAGCGATGCCAACAGCTGGCAAGTCCTTCTTGGCCAACATGCTGTGCTCAGCAGACTCTCTGTAAGTCTTTGAGTTCTCTGGCTTGTGAACAGACAGAGGGCAGGGATAAGATTTGCAGGGGTAGAGGAGAGGCAGCTAGACGGCAGCTCCCATGCCACCCTTTCAATTGGCTAATAAAAGGTTTGGGAATCAACTTAACTATGGGTTTTCCTTTAAGGATCCTGACTAGGGATGGGGGAGAAATTCAGTTTGCATTTTAATGGGGACCTCCCTAATTCACACTTCCTGACACGATACACAAATCAAAACCACTGTACTTTGAAATCCACGCCTCTCCTAATGTTACGATGCAGTTCGCCAACCAAGTGATGAGTAGGAAAAAGTGCACGTTAGGCTAAATGTGGATAAAAATGTGCCTTTTCCTGAAGATATGCAAAAAATGCATTATCTAGCGAGAAAATGGCTTGCAGAAAAATGTGTGTATTAAGACAGAATTGCATGCAAAATATAAGAGAAATGCTGGGCATTTTCATGATGACTTTTTTAATTAAAAAAAATCACAAACTGTTGGGGAAATCTGGAAACCAAACTTCAGATGGGGGAGATGAGAATTGAAATTTACAGATTCACCCATCCCTCTTCCTGAATGTAAAGTATCTGGGGAAAACAAATACTAAATAGATCCAGGATTGGGGGCATGTTTGGAAAATATAGGCTTGTAGCCAATTAAGTCTTACTCCAAGTAGGCCCATTGAAATGAATGTGCCTAAGTTGGTTATGTTGTTTAACTTTAATGGGTCTGCTCTGAGTTGGGCTGGCATTGAATACAACCAATAACCTTCCCTTCTCCAGATTTAACCTACACACCACCTCTGACCCTTGGGCTGTCTGGGAGCACTCTTGCATTGGTTGAAAATACCAACATCCCACCATCAGAGGTAGCCAGATGTTGTTGACTACAATGCCCACCATCCCTGACCATTGGCCATGCTGATTTGGACTGATGGGAGTTGGAGTTCCCCAACATCTGGAGGGTATCACACTGGCTACCCATGACATGGGTGGCACTGTGGTCTAAACCATGGAGCCTCTTGGGCTTGCTGGTCACAAGGTCAGCGGTTCAAATCCCCGTGACAGAGTGAGCTCCCGTTGCTCTGTCCCAGCTCTGGCCAACTTAGCAGTTTGAAAGCACACCAGTGCAAGTAGATAAATAGGTACCACTGCAGCAGGAAGGTAAACGGCATTTCCATGCGCTCTGGCACTCATCACGGTGTTCCATTGCACCAGAAATGGTTTAGTCCTGCTGGCCACATGACCCAGAAAGCTTTCTGTGGACAAACACTGGCTCTTTCGGCCTGAAAGCGAGATGAGCGCTGCAACCCCATAGTTGCCTTTGAGTGGACTTAACCGTCCAGGGGTCATTTACCTTTACCTTTTACAGGTGTGGCTCAGCAGGCTCTTAGCTCTGTGTACACTTTGTCCCAGCAAATCAGAAGGCTAAAAAAAGGCCACCTGGAGGAGCCCATTGTCAATGAAGTAGCTTGCTTTAAAAAACAAAATTGCCACAGGGCAGAGGGCGTTTTGAATTTTGCCCTCAGGCACCAACGTCTCTTGGGCTTATTTTTTTCTGGATCCCTCCTCCGCAAAGAGAAAGCTCTCTTCTCTTCTCCAGCTATGGCTCCTTGAACAGGGAGCCATGTAAGAGAGTCTGCCTCATGGGCTGGCGATGTCTCGGCCTATCAACCGTTTTTGGAAAGGGCAGACTTTATTCCCTCAGCCCATGCCACGACAGACAGTAGCAGAGTTGTCTTCTGTGGCACCCTCAAATCACTTTCCCCTTAGTGTTAGGTGGAAGGGACAGAGCCTGCGACAAAGTGTCCTAGAGGGGGGCAAACCCACCCAGCTGGTTCATTGGGTCCCAGAGCACCGGAGGTGAGAGAAGGCCCGATTGTGCTATGGTGAGAATGCTGGCGCCATGGCACGTTCAGCACGGCCAGCCGGAGAAACAACATGCTACAGCCTCGGCAGTGTTTTTCCAGAGAGCAAGAGGGAGAGAGGCGTTTGGTCAAGCCAGCTGAGGACAAACAGGGCCTCTGTAACCTCCATCCCTAGGTAACAAGGTGCCTTTTCTTCTCCTCCTCCTCCTTCTTCTTCCCCTCCCACAGCCTCCACCTACAAGCACAGACTACATAAGAGGAGCGCAAGGACTCGATCAAGGACCAATGGAGGAATGGCGCAGAGACCCACCCATTAAAGAAGAGACAGAGAGAGGAGATAAGAGAGAGAGAGAGAGATTTTATGGAACAGTTATATTAACAGATTCGATTTCTTCTTGTTGCTTTTTTTGTTGTTGTTATATAAGGGAAAAAATATATTAAAGAAAAATCCACCTTGTGCATATGTAAAAAGAGAGAGACAGAGAGAGAAACTTTTGCAAAACAGCAAAGCAAAAGCTTTTTTTTTTTTACTAACCGTCTGGATCCAATTATCTTTGTGCCTTTTCGGGGAAGGGGATGGAGAGGGTCGCAAGAGGGTGAGGGTTAAGTTAAATAATAAAGAAGATTTGCTATTTTTTTGTGGGGGAGGTCCTGGTTTTATTCACAGGCCATGTAATTATTTAATCTGCAGGGTGGACAAGACTCTCTCTTTTTCTTTTTCTTTTGTAAGCTGTTGTGTTTCTCCTTCCCTGTCCCACTCAGCTTCTTCCCACTGTTGCAGCTTGCCTTGTAGGGTTCAGAGGGAGCCACTGGGAATGTGTAAATCGAGAGAGAGACAGAGAGAGATATCAAATGGGCTGAATCTTTTCAATGAGAAAGGAATGAAAAAGAGGATTTCCGCCTCTCCCAGGGAGGTGGGGGAAACAGCCATTGCTCGTTTGGAAATGTCAATTCTTTTAAATAAATGCAAAATGTAAAATAATGTGTGGAGGCTGAAATTAACCAGAACATCAGACCAGCCAGAGTGGCATTCATATAAAGAACAAAGGGCAGAGTTAAAAGCTGGGCCTCTGAGGCTGTGTTAGCTCTTGTCAGTTTCCAGCTACTCTCGGCCAATTTCTCCTCCCCTCCAATTTTATTTTATTTTATCTCTAAAGTTGTGTGAAGGAAATGAGAGAGTAAATGACTGGAGCAACAAAATTCAGGTCTTGTTACTGACAATCGGCAAGCCAGCTTCATATATACACCTATGAATCAACCTTAGTGGGTCGTTCCAGAGATTCCCCCCCAAGTCCCAACATGCTGAATGCACAGAGGCAATATCTGTTTTCAGCCGCTGTGTGAATGAATGTAACCACTTTGTAAGCTGCTCGTCTGTATCATCCTGTCAGGTGTTGATCATTGGGCCACACTCTTTGTTCCCCAGAATTTTGTTGAAAGAAAGTGTAGTTGAAACAATACTTGACAAGAAGTTACAGAGGTGCAACTTGTGGTCAGTTCCCATGTTGGTCAGTGGTCATCTGTATGAGCTTCCTAGCTCAAGTCAAATGCTGTTGCGAAGTTCTTAAGCAGGGCACAGGAAGCTGTCGTACCCAGGTGGGCCATAGGTCCATCAAGCACAGCATTGTCTATATCAGAGTTACCCAAACTTGGGTCTCTAGCTGTTTTGGGTACTACGATTCCCATCATCCCTGACCACTGGTCCAGCTAACTAGGGGTGATGGGAGTTGTAGTTCAACAGCAGCTGGAGACCCAAGTTTGGGAAACTCTGGTACAAGCATAGAATCATAGAGCTGAAAGGGACCCTAAGGATCATCTTGATCCAACCCCCCAATCTTGATTGAACTTGCAACCTTGACATTATCAGCACCATGCTCTAACCAACTGAGCTATCCAGGCTGGTCTACACTGACTGGCAGGAACAGCTTTCGAAGATTTCAGCCCAGGGTTTTCCCCAGCCCTACATGGAGATGCGAGGGATTGAAACTGGGGCCTTCTGCACTCAAAGCATATGTTCTCCCACTGAGCCATGGCCCTTCAGTTCAAAGCATGATAGCATCCTCAGCATCGGTAACCAAAGATAGACTTCCTCTGCCTATTGAGGCTCCCCCTCGTTTTTAGCTACCATGATTGTCATCTGCCCCATAAAACTGTCTAATCTAATTTTTAAAAAGTGGGGGAAATAACACCCAAAGCTTTTAGTCAAATTTATTCTGGATGATGAGCAGGTCCATGAATTATATGCATCTCTTCATGCAAATAAGTGGGGCAGTATCCAATGCAGAGCTAAATTAAAGCCAATTAGTGACCAACTTGTTCCTCTGGAGAAATGTTTTGTCCCAGCAGGACGTTGTGTTGTGCGAGAGAATGCACCAGCAAGTGGCTGGTAGCTTTGCTGCACAATAGATTGTGCAATCTGTTGCACAATTGAGTTTCTGGTTGTGCAACTGTTTCCTGCAGTGGAAGACATACAGAGTTGGAAGGGACACCATCTAGTCCAACCCCATGCAGCACAGGAATCCTTTGCCCAATGTGGGGCTCAAATCCACGACCCTGAGATTAAGAGTCTTATGCTCTGCTATCTGAGCTAACCCGGTTGTGCTGAATTAAAGCTCGCCCTTGCACTGGGACTGAGAACACGGGATACAGACAATGGCTACTTCACATTTAACCCCTGTCTCTAAGCAGCTCAAGGGACATGGGTGGCACTGTGGGTTAAACCACAGAGCCTAGGACTTGCCGATCAAAAGGTCGGCATTTCGAATCCCCGCGACGGGGTGAGCTCCCATTGCTCGGTCCCTGCTCCTGCCAACCTAGCAGTTCAAAAGCACATCAAAGTGCAAGTAGATAAACAGGTACTGCTCCGGCAGAAAGGTAAATGGCGTTTCCGTGCACTGCTCTGGTTCGCCAGAAGCAGCTTAGTCATGCTGGCCACATGACCCAGAAGCTGTACGCTGGCTTCCTCAGCCAATAAAGCGAGATGAGCGCCGCAACCCCAGAGTCGGTCACGACTGGACCTAATGGTCAGGGGTCCCTTTACCTTTACCTTTACTAAGCAGCTCAGGATAGCGGACAAGGGTCCATGCCGTTTTATCCTCACAAAAACCTTGTGAGGTGGGTTTCACTTCCCTCTGTTTGTTCCGAACCTGCTGCCAGTCATTTCATTGGCTTATTTCCCCTGTCAGAGTAATGCTTGAATTATGCAGAGGGGGGCAGGAAGGCTGTGGCGTCCTTCGTGAAGTCTACAAAGTCCATCCTTGAATTTCTCTACTTTTAGCCAAATCGTGATACAAACATCCCACCCCGCTAGAAACTAAAAAAAAAAAAAAAAAGGTGTTCAGGAGCTGGCACAAAACGGTAAGGGGGCTGAGCCCCCTCTGGCCTGCGTATAATTTGAGCCACAGAGTCACTCAGCTGACAACATCATGGGTTTGTTTCTTCAGCCGTCTTCTCCCTGCTTTCCTGAGTGCATCTTAAAGATGCAAGTAGAGGACATAGAAATATATCTATAACGCAACTTCATAAGCCTGTGTCCCCCCACCATGGCTGTTTCCTACCCCCCCCCCAACCAGGACATATGGAAAAGCAGCTCCCATCCTGAGATGGTGCTCTCTCAAGGGGGACCGTGCCGGGCACCTGAGTTCCCTGCACCTATTTATATATATATTTTAAAAAGCATAATGGTAATAATTATTGAAAACAAAGAGAAAACTGGTCATTTTTACAATAATTTAAATGGACTCGCCAATGTCTCAAGGATGCTGGTAGGAGCCTAGCTTTTGATGTGTGTTCTGTTTCCAAAGTGGGGGGTGGGTGGGAATGGTCTGGGGATGGGGGGATGTGGAATGAAGCAAAGAAGAGCTTGCCTGATTTTTTTGTTTTCTGTAAAAAGCAAAAAAAAAAAAAAAAAAGAGGTAGGAAGAAACCCAACCCAGAATATTTTCTTCTTCCTTCTTCCCTCCTTTTTTTTTTCCAGGGGTGGGGGGTGGGGGGTGTTTAACTCTTATGCATAAAATGCAAGATTCAAAATTAAAACAGCTATCGGCGCTGTTGTGAACCCTGTAAAATAAAAGTTTGTTGTATTTTATCCTTGCGGAGGTGCTGGTTGCATGCTCTGTGTGTGTGTGTTCTGTGTGTGTGTGTGCATTTGGGAACACTTGTGCACACATTGTCGCAGATCAGAAGCCACGTTACAGATCAAAGGGGTTATGTCAAAAGCACAGTGGTGGAGTTTAGGGACTGTAAAGGAAGTTATGTATTGATCAGGCCAAGGCAATTCATCCAGTATAGACTACAATCACTCCCAGCCTCAAGTAACTGGAGGTGTCAGGGATTAATCTTAGATCCTCCTTCAGGCAAAATAAGTGATCTGCTGCTGAGATATGACCCTGTACTGAGTTGGGCAAACATACAGGCATATTGTCTGTTCAAGCACCACAGTTGTCATAAGTACTGGCATAAGCAATTCAGTTGGGCCTTTGCTGTTTGCCCAACCTTTTTAACTGCCCAAAGCAGTCTCCTGCTATCTTTTGGGGGGACAAATTTGATTCAGTGTACATTTAATGGCAATCCTAACAAATTTGCAGCTTCCAAAGCAATGCAGAAAGCCATCCCTCAAAATCTGCATGAATTTTGCAATGCAGGTCTCCAGTCAAGCAATGTGTACAAAAATGTATACACTAGGATAATACATGCTTTAAAAGGCATATATTAGTGACAGGAACATAGAGAAGTGCATTGTATTGTGGGAAATTGCTTTGCAAAAATATGTAAATCAAAGCAAAATTACATAGAAAAACGTAGGTATTAGGAGAAATTCGCAGAAATTCGCAGTAAAATGCTGGTGAGTTTTCATGAGTTTTATAATTCAAACTAATGTGAGAATTGAAAAGGAGAAACAAAGAGAAACCAAAATTGACAGATTCCTGCATTCCTAGCTCTGTCAGAAAGGAAACTTAGGTTGGCAGAAGCTGGAACAGAGCAACGGGAGGTCACCCCCTCACAGTGATTCGAACCATCAACCTTCCAATCAGCAAGCCCAAGAGGCTCAGTGGTGTAGACCACAGCGCCACCTCCGTCCCAGTGCAAGTACAGTGGTACCTCAGGTTACATACGCTTTCAGGTTACAGACTCCACTAACCGAGAAATAGTACCTTGGGTTAATAACTTTGCTTCAGGATGAGAACAGAAATTGTGCTCCGGTGGCGTGGCAGCAGTGGGAGGCCCCATTAGCTAAAGTGGTGCTTCAGGTTAAGAACAGTTTCAGGTTAAGAATGGACCTCCGGAACGATTTAAGTACTTAACCCGAGGTACCACTGTAGATAAATAGGTACTGCTGCAGTGGGAAGGTAAACGGCATTTCCATGCACTCTGGTTTCTGTCACGGTGTTCCATCACACAAAAAGCAGTTTAGTCATGCTGGCCACATGACCACATGCTGGCCAAATGCCAGCTCCTGAAAGCAAGATGAGTGCCACAACCCCATAGTCGCCTTTGACTGGACTTAACTGTCCAGGGGTCCTTTACCTTTTTTTACCTTTACCATAAAGGAAACGTGCATCTCAGCTATCTCAACTGCCTCTTTCGGGGTTCCATCAGAGTCTATGGCCCATGTGCGCCACATGAATGAACAAAAAGAGCAGTGTGCCCATTGGGTTGTCTGCCTTAAGCATCATTGTGTCTCTGCACAGCTCATTCCTTACATGTCCCTGTCAGGCTTGCTTCATTATTACCGGAGAAGGAGGAGGCAAACAAACCGCGGCAAACTTTTTAGAATTCATTACATGAGTTGGGAGCTGGATTTTAATTAAATATTTAAGCAGAGAGTTCTTTGATATGCTGTGCAAAGGTAAGCATGGGCTTTTGATTAAATTGTTGGCGCCTACATGAATGCAATTCATTCAGGGCGCCTTCCACCAGGCTCGTAGCCTCTCTCGCGTGCATGTACATCCACACCCCCACACCACTATTTCCTTCCTGTTCTTCCTCCTCCCCCCCCCGCC